TGTGCCGATCGTTCACGAACCCTTTTGATAAAGAATTTCATAATACACCTTTTGTCATCATTTTCATCTAAACCAGTTGTGGGCATGGAGGCCAGTGAGAGTCTGTGGGTCAACCTCACAGTTTTAAAATCCCCACTTAAAAACCCACTACTATTCCCTGGACTGTATGATCTGTGCTGAACCTGTATGCATCACACTGTGTTAGTCATTAAGTTATTATCTGCTACTTTTTTTGTTCTCTATATTTTGATTTTACATTCTGTTATGTGTCGCTGGGTGCTTTGCCTGTTTGTTTCTGTTTCTACAGCACTTTGGTTGGCCCTGTCGCTGTTGAATGTGCTCTATAAATAAAATGGTATGGTATTTATATTATTGATATGCAGAACATGAATGCATGGTACTTAATGGACAGTGATTTATTGCAGTCCAAGCAGTCCTTTATTACATTTATATTGCGATAAGGATAGGTGCAGCCCTAATGCAAACACAAAGTAATAATGGACACCATAGTTAAAGTATGAGATAAAGAATTATAAAAGTTCAACTTTATTTTATTTATGATGCACCACATGTTTACTTTGTGTTCTGAAACACATGAACTTTTAAATCAGAGTTCTTTGTTATTTTCATTTATCCTCAAACCGTTTTAATCTAAAATATCTTGTTTTTGTAGGGAGGCATCTTTTTCTTTTTTAATAGAACGTGTGTTAAGGGATTTTAAAATTGTACCATTTTATCATTTTGTCAAATGTAATGACTGACTACATATGCATTAAGTTTTGTTCAAGTGTTTTGAAAGAGCATGATCCGTGGTTTGCATTTCCCTTTTCTGTGTTTACCAAAATGTTACAATTTTAAGGATAATGTGCTTTGGTGTAGATGTACATAAAATGTCCTAGTACAGTATGCCATTTTGTTTAGGTGCGTGTGTTTTTTTTTCTTTACAAGCGTTTTTTTTCTGTGTTTTGCACAAATTTATGTTTCAGTCTTGAAAAAAATCACATTGTGAAATATGCTCTGTATTTATTACCTTTCACGTTTTAGTGCTCCTACACAGAATAAAAAAAATAATAATAATACAAGTTAAAAAATTGTTCTCATAGCTTCACTGAAAACAAACATTTGAAAACTGCAAACAACCACAGACCATTTTCCCATTTTGGACTCAGGTGTGTTTCCTATTTTAATCAGTCATATTTCAATTTATAGTTATTGCAATTAGGGGTGCACCGATTGCAGTTTTCTGGCCGATCACAGATTTCTAAAAAAAGTCTGACCTGCTGATTCCGATTTTGGATACCGATTTTGTTTTATAAGCGACACTGTCAGGTGTTATAAGATCACAATGCACCTTCAATTTTCCAATCTTATTTTGTTGAAAAACATACACTTGAACAATACAAACTTGTTTTTACTGGCCATGAGGCAGTACTCTAAAATATAAAAGAAGTTTAGAAAATTGTTGTAAAAAACAAAAAAAAATATATAAAAAAACGGTAAAATCGGTTGCTCATGCAAGTATCGGCCGATTTCCGAAAATTATGGAAAATGGGCGATAAATTAACCGGCCGATTTATCGGTGCACCACTAATTGCAATATTATGGTAAATATGTGCTCCAAGATGTGGACACTTGGCCTAGTATGGCATAAACTCAGGGGTAGCTAATCAAACTGTGAAGGATGAAGATAAATCTGTAGAATCTAGGTGCAGGTACACCGTGCAGACACAAAACGTTAGTAGTGATTTGCACCATAAAATAACATCAAGCTAGCTTGATTCAGAATATCTGCGTGGTTGTCGATAATGGCTGCGTTGGCCCCGCCGTTAACAAACATTGTTTTATACGTACCTTCAGGGACGCTGAGGATGCATTCTTGCTTTTGCCTCCTCCGTGTGAAGAACCGGAGCTGGTGCTACCAGACCTTTCCCTTCCGTCCCCGACACCTTGGCTAACTCTCGGGCCGAGACGATGCTGTCCAGCGCCGCGCCGCCGTCCGTCATGGCGGTTATCTTTGGACATCGACTTTGTGTTCAAATCTCAGCAGGTGAGGAATAAACGACCGCGGACAAAGTTCTTGTCAGCAACAGTGACAAGGAGGAAAAAAAACATGTCAGATAAATACATGACACTGAGGACAACCTACCAAAGCCGGAAGTCAGTTTATTGTTACTTTGACTGACGTGGGGATTGGCCAATGAAATGACAGCCTCGTGGTAGTGGCGCACATGCCAGCCAGTTACATACTGTACAATTCAGGTCAAAGGGCGGTGCAGGTTCTTCAGCGGAGCCTCGTTAAATTGTCTTACCATGGCAACCATTAAAAGACAAGGCGGGACAGTGACGAGAGTTTGGTTGAGGTCACAATGATCGTCAAGCTGTTTGCAAATAACCGGAAATGAATACGAAACTTTAGTTTGCCTTCAAAGTAAAGGCATTGAATGCTCAAGCCACAATTTTATTGACGCGATCCCATCATTCAGCACTTAAATGTGTTTAATTCGGCTTAATTTGAACAGGGACGGTACTCTGATTCGTCTTTGCATGAGTCAAAAACTAAAACCATTTTATTGCTATTGACAAACTATTTAAAAATGAGGGCTTTTAGATTATTATTAGTTATTTATTCAAAATATGATTTCTAACACCCTGAGTCAGGGAGTTCCTACAGGGACCCTGGTCCCTGACCTTTTTAAACACCAAATGTTCATCTTTATCTATGTCAGCTTTAGTCCGTTTTACAAAATGAATCAATTTTTTCACTGTTTATTTGCCATTTACAAAATATTAGCCTTGTTTTTGCATTTTTTTTAAAAGAAATGTGCTGTGTGTCTTTGTTAAAAAACTGAAGGTTTAACAAAAAAAACGGATAAAAAATATTCTCAAAATGTGCAACATGCATAATAACCTTTGTCTATGATTAAAAATAGTCCATGCTCAAGAATCCAAGTATACAATTCAACAATTTTCAGTCCGGTCATCTGGATAGTTTCTGTTGTTTTTTTTTGTGTGTGCTGAAACGTTTCTCCTTCCATCCAGAAGGCTTCATCAGTCACGGAAACACTCAACACAAAACTGATTCTTGCCCCAAACAGCTTACTCCAAAGTGGAACAAACCAGTTATGTCGGTGCCAAGATGGTGTCTTTGGCACGCTCCCTCCTCTTGTGCCGGCCCTCTTCCTCGTCGACAGTCATGGCAAACTGGTTCAAAACCAAAAATAGTCCAGATGACCTGAATGAAAATTGTTGGATTGTATACCTGGATTATTGAGCATGGACTATTTTTGGTTTTGCATCAGTTTGACATGACTGTCGACGAGGAAGAGGGCCGGCACAAGAGGAAAGGGTGTACCAAAGACACCATCTTAGCACCAACATAACTGGTTTGTTCCACTTTGGAGTAAGCTGTTTGGGGCAAGAATCAGTTTTGTGTTGAGTGTTTCCTTGACTGATGAAGCCTTCCGGATGGAAGGAGAAACGTTTCAGAAAAAAAAAAAAAGGAAGAAGGAAGAAACTGTCCAGATGACCTGACTGAAAATCGCTGGTTTGTCTATGATTAATTATTTATTCATTTATTTTAATTTCATGGCACAAAGCACTACTAATATTACTAACTGTGAAATACTTAGTTATACTAATTAATCCTACTTGCACCATTATATTCTACCATGTTGTTTACTATACTTCTGTTGATTCTTGCAAATATTATATTTCTCCTCACTTTGGTACTTTATTTTGTACTTTTATTGCAGCTTTATGTTTCATTTTTTTAGCGAGTCAAAACAGTTCCTCTCATCCTGAACATTTCGTTACAGTGTTGACCTTGTGTTAACCTGCATATGACAAATAAGCAATAAACTATACATTTACTGACTTTTGCAAAAAGGTAGACTTTTGCATAATTATTCATAAAACTGTTGTCATTGAAAATAGGTGCAGTTGATTTAATTATGGATTAAGGTCTGATGGACTCATTTTACATGTTTGTTTCTAAGAATAGACTATAATGTATTTTTCAAACACAAAGAAATAAATACAGACCCAACAAATCAAAGGACCTCCTGGATGCTTTACGAACATGTTAATGTTTATGAGGCTTTTATTTTTTTACTTATGTTTAGAAATGCTTCTCCAACAAAATCAAAATATTAGTTGTGCTTCACAGTTAAAAATAAATAAATCACAAAACAAAGTATGCTTTTTTAATCTTAAATTACAATATTCTAGCCCACAAGTAGTTTCATTTAGACCATTTTGGCCTGTGCACAAAAAAGTTTGGGCACCCTGTATGGTATCTTGATGACTTTTAACTACAGTAATTGCTAACAAAAAGGTTAAATCGTGCCATCTGGACCAGTTTTTTTAACTGAGAAACGCTTCGTCCCCCATCCAGAGGACTTCTTCCGTCTATGGCCTGCCAATCAATCTGTCCCATAGCCTTCACTGCTGTGTTTCAAGCCAACCTCCTGTTTGAATCTCAGGCTTTTAACACGTGCAAATTAAAACACACCCATCCAAAACAATCCATCATCATGTACAACAATCTAATGTTTTAGGCCAGATGGTGTGAGATTCCATCAGGAGGTTGACTTGAAACACAGCAACGAAGGTATGGGCCAGATCAGGTTGGCAGGCCATTGACTGAGGAAGTCCTCTGGATGGGGGACGAAAAGTTTCTCACTTAAAGAAACTGGTCCAGATGACATGATTTAACCTTTTTTTGTTGTTATCTACCTGGATGATTGAGCTTACAAACTTTTTTTTTTTTTTAACAATAAATGCTGTTTAGTTTTCACTGGCCAAGCTTTTATTTTGAAGGTCCATTTCGGAAGCGCTTTCTTTCTCTGGAATAAACGATGACTGAGCGACCATTGTACGGACAACTTTTCACGGTAATAACTTCCATGTCTTCTTGTAAGAATAACTCACCTTAGTTCTTTTTGGCTTACGCTGTTGCTTCTGTTTTCTTCTCACACGTTTGCTCAGTGAACAGAAAAATCAGTTCCTAGCTATTAGTCGTAACTAGATTAGTTTTTTTTTTACATTTTAGTTTGTTGTTTTGAATCCTAAACGCAGCAGTTCTTGTGAAATTGTGTTTTTTGTACTTCCTCCAGCTGGCCAGCAGATAGCACGGTTGCATGGAGTTGATCAGTTCTTGTAAAGTGGACTTTTTAATCGTTTTCAATTAATTTCCCAGTTCCATTTCTTTTGTTTTGAACAGATGATGCACATTTCATTCTTGCTCCTGCTTGTTCAGTTTGGAGTTGGACAAAGTTCTCATCAACATCTTCATGAAGATCATCAGCAGCACAACCCTGACCATGACATGGCTGTACTGCTAGGAGAGCAGGTTGTTTCATATTTTTAATTCATTTTATTAGATTCCTCAGACCTTGCATCAATCTTCTGATCTCTTTTTACACTCCTTGTTGTTTGCTTTTCATTAGAGCACTGATGCAATAAAGAAACTGAGCCCAGCAGAGCAGCAGAAGAAGATGATAGAAATTGTTAAAAAGATTGATACAAATGATGACAACCTTCTAAGTGCAGGTAATCATGTTAAGACGTGATAGCAAAGATAAACGCAGGTGAATATAAACTGATATATGAACATGTGTTTTCTTATCCACAGAGGAGATCGCTCTGTGGATTCAGCATGTCTACAGAAAATATGCTCTGGAAGATGCAGCGGAGCGGTTCTCAGAGTTTGACATCAACAACGATGGTGTTGTGACATGGGAGGAGTATAACTCTGTCGCTCATGACCAGCTCTTTAGTTTGGATGACAACACAGTTCTGGAGGACCCAGAACAAGAGTCTTTAAGAAAAGTAGGTAAACTTTGTAAATGCACGTTACTCTCCTATAACTTAGCGGCACTTTAACAAACGCTCGTATTTCAACTAGCTCCACTTAAAGGAGAAGAATCGCTTTGATTTCGCTAACGTGGATGGCAAACCTGGCCTCAACGTAACAGAATTTCTTGCCTTCACCCACCCATCTGAAGTGGATTATATGGCTGTGAGATGAGTTTACGTCCTACTTCTGTAAAATCTGATACGATAATGCACCCTTCCATCTATTATATCCATGTGCTTTGTATAAACTTTAATAGATTTACTTTTTTTTTCCCCTTCCAGGACTTTGCCATTGAAGATGTATTGAGTGAATATGATACTGATAAAGATGGATTCATCTCTCTAAGTGAGTTTATTGGAAATGTGCGTAATGAAGGTAAGAAGACCACAGACGTTGTTTAAAACCCTAAATGATTTTTGTTGTTGTTGTTGATTAGTCACCTTTTCCAAGATTTTTACTTACCATTTTTTCTTTGTCAATTAGACGAAACTCCATCACAGTGGGAGATTGAGGAAACAGTTAGATTTAAAGAACTGTATGACCAAGACAAGGATGGCAGACTGAATCGAGACGAGCAGCTGCGGTGGGTTGCACCCAACAGCTACGGTTCAGCAAGAGAGGAAGTACGGTTCACTTACTATTTGTTTAAAGTTTTTGTTTTGTTATGTTCAGTAAATACGTTAAGAGACAGCGAAAGTGCATGATACCTTTAGAAATGCAAGAAGGCACTCATGAGATTTGGTTTAATCTTAATCTTAACAGTTAAACACAACCAAACTGAACTACCAGTAATAAAACAGTTGCACAGTTCATATGTTACTTCTAACATTACTTCTAACCTACAAAGCCCTCAACAACCTAGCTCCGTTTTGTGTTGGAGCTCTTTTTGTTCCATATTTTCCTAACAGGGCACATCGCTCTCAGACTGCAGGCTTACTTGTGGTTCCTAGAGTTTCCAAAATCAGAATGGGAGGAATATCTTTCAGTTTTCAGGCTCCTGTCCATGAGGCTGACACATTGTCTGGTTTTAAGACTCGGCTTAAGACTTTCCTTTTTGATAAATCCTATAGTTAGGGTTGGCTTGTTATGCTGCCATAGGCTTAGACTACCGGAGGACAGATTGACCTCATTTCCTTAAATTAATTGTTAAAATTGAATAGTTTTCATTTGATACTATTTCTATCTTAACGTGATTCTCGAGCTGCCATTGTGTATCTGTTCCTCTCAAACCCAGCTGGTCGAAGCAGAGACAAGTGGACATCTGCTTCGACCAGCCTGAGCCTGCTTCTGCTAAAGGTTTCATCCTCATGAGGGAGTTTTTCCTTCCCACTGTCGCTTTCATGCTTGCTCAAGATGAGAGTCTGCAATGGAGTTAAACTAAAAGCAGTCTGCTCCTCAGATAATTAATGTTATTAACTTGTATTTTTATAAATGAATGTTTCTGTTCAGTGCCCTGAGACGACTTCTGTTGTGACTTGGTGCTATAGAAATAAACTGAATTGAACTGAATGTCTTTATTAGGTAATCACTCAGTATGGGCTGAGCATCTTTCTGTACATTCAGTAATTAAGTAATTCTTAGAATTTTCGTATTCACTTCCTCATTACTCAAATGTGGACAGTTCCTTCCTACAAAAATGCTTCAGTTTGTCAGCATTTCTGAGATGTCATCATTACACGGACCTGTTACTATCAGGGCTCTGACTTGGTCACCTTAAATCATATATTTTCTTTTAATTCCATCATTTTTAGTCTTGATCAATTCATGTGCTTTGGATCAATCTTATATTAAATCTTATCCTAAGCCTCCATAACCTTGGCCTTTTAAGATGTTCACTTTTTGAGCAATGGAGCAAAGAGGCCGTCAAACCATAATGCTACTTCTACCATGCTTCACAATTGGAACAAGGTTCTGTTTTTGTTCTGAACATCGGTTTAAAAAAATAAAATGTTCTAGTGAAGACATCAACATTTAGCAAGTTTGCTTTGATCGTTGCAGTCATCCACTGTTAGCTGAAGAACACCTACATTAGCCCGATTCATTAATAATTGCTCATATTTAAAATCAGTTAAGCATTAAAAAAATCTTTTGTAGCTTGTTATTATGACAGATCTTACAGATACCTGAATGTGGGGCTGCTCACACAGTTCATAGTTCGTTACATCTCTGATACTTTAAAAAGCATTTATATATCTGTTAGTTAGGCTTGTTGCAATAAACAATAAATCAATTAATTGCATGATAAATGAAAATTATCAACCTCATTTTCATTTATTGGCTTTATCGTTTCTTCGTCGCTCTTTGTACTGGACTCTGGATAAAAAGGCTCAACTCCGGTGCTCTTCACTGACACTTCCCTTTCTCTTTTCGCTTTAAAATCTGTTTTAACGATCCAAAATCGCGTTTTTGGATCGTTAAAAGCAGCTAAGCTACGAGCTAAGCTAACAGGCCGACCTCGGGGAAAAAAACCCTCCGTTTTGTCGAAGCTCCAAAATTCACAGTTGAAACCCGTGCCTTCGTGTAAAAAGTTGTTTTTCTCGGCAAAAAGATGCTGAGAACTTGTTTACTGATTTTTTATTATTAAAAGTGTTGTGTGACAAATGTTATGCTAAAGAGCTCAAACCACACAGCGCGTCCGCCATTTTGAGAACTGACAAGAAAGCGAGACAGCCCATGTCACGTCAAGGGGCTGCTCTCTCATTTTTCTTAAAGAGACACGCTGCTGCTCCCTCACTATCCATCCTTCGGTTCAAACAGTCTTATACTGCCACAACAAATTAATCAACATTTCTTCTAAAATTTGACAATAATTACTAATTATTGTCAAATTTCAAACAATATTATCGTTTATCGCAATAATTTCTGAGACAATTAATCGCCCAGCAAAATTTGTTATCGTGACAGGCCTACTGTTAGTCTTAATGGTGAGAAGTTACTCTGTGTTTGTCTGGTTCTCCATGTTTTTTTCCCCCTATCTCCTGTAAATTAGTTATTTCAAACTGTACGGTTATTGTTTGGAAGCATTATACATAGTTTTCTCCTCAACAAATTTACTCATGGATGGTCTCTGATTTGTCCTTGACAGGCTCTTCATCTCATCAAGGAAATGGACCTAGATGGAGACGGGCAGATTTCATTGGCAGAAGTTTTGAAAAACCAAGAAACCTTCATGAACAGTGAAGTGACAGACTATGGCAGACAGCTGCACGTGGCACACGATGAATTATAACCAGAAGTATTTGCTTGTTGTAGAATATGGATGGAGAAATGTAATGTGGTTTATTTCGTTTGTTCTGCTGTAAGATTGGTCATTTATGTAACTTTGGAAATTGCTACGCATAACTTGCAGCAGTTATTTGAAAAAAGTACATAATATACAGAAATGTAAGTCACCAACAAAAGTCCTTGAAAATGAGTCACTTTAAAATCAAAATGTCTTCAGAATGTTGCTAAATCGGTACACATTGCGATGCTATCGGTTAGGTTGCAAAAACGAGTGGACCATCTTTCTGTGCATATATAGTTTTGAAGAGCATTTAAACAAAAATACACACAAAACACTCTTGGTTAGGGATTACTTGTCCCTTACAGGGACATCGAGTTTGTTCTGAACACGTTCCCGCAGGAGTTAAACAGTTACTGTGTATCTCTTGTTGCCAGTCGTTTCACACGTGAGTGAGATTGTGTCAGCCGCTGACACGTTCCAGCTCTTCCTTATTGAAATGAAGTGACTAAGCGAGTGAGAGTTGGTTAGTTTCCTGAACGTGCTCTGATGCGTTACACTTGTGTCGAAGCTTGGTCTGTTACACCGCCGAGGCTGTCCAAGTGATACAGAAGCTGAGTTTTCCAACGGATTATTTTCAAGCATTGTCAAAATGGCTTTCCAGTTTAAGGATGCATTTTGGGTGAGTTATAACACTATTTGAAAGTTTTGTTCAAAACTATAGGGAACAATGACCTCAACACAACTGTGAAGCTCTTATTGGATTATATTATTACTGGGTTTTTACAAGGTTTCAGTTGATTTATTTTTTTGTTGTACCGATTATTGTGTCTGATGAACCATGCATATTTTAAGTTTGACATTAAGTTTTAAAGTTGTTTTTTTTTTTTTTAAACTTCCAGTTGTTTATTTTTTTTTATCATTTCTTATTTTAAAAGCCATTGAATCTTTGCCTGTTCTCATTTTTAATAAGTTGATCAATTTTTGTCAAAATGTCATGCAAATGATTGGCAGCCCAGGGTCCAGTCCAGGAAGCAGAGTTGTAGTCCTCCACACCTCTGCTGCTTCTCCTGTTACCCACTCAAACTCCTGTTGAAACAGTACCAGCTCAGCCATGGCTCAAATTAAATAAACCAAACATCAACTATAGAAAAATAAATCATAAAAATGTTATTCAAAATAATTACGGTTACTTTACCAGAACAAAAAATAAAAATCGTTAAATGTGGATTCATGAACATCAGCTCTCTTTCCTCTTAAGTGTCTGTTAATGAACTGATAATTGATCATCATATTGATGTACTTGTTTGACAGAAACCTGGCTCCAACAGGAGGATGTTGTTAATATAAATGAATCCACTCCTGCTCATTTAAATTTTCATGTTCCTAGAACAACAGGTCGGGGTGGAGACAGTTTGATGACAGGATTTAACATTTTTTGTGGTAAATAATGACTCTTCCTCATACACCAAAGTTAGTCATGGAGTCCCTCAGGGTTCAGTGCTTGGACCAAGGGTCTGCAACCTGCGGCGCTGGAGCTACAGGTACATGCAGCTCTTTGGTTCCTCCACAGCGGCTCGTTCAAGCTTTGACCAAAACTAACATAAAACTGAATTTTATTGGTTGTTATACAAACGACAAAAAAGGACTAGTTTTACCAGTTTTCCTGTAATGTCTTTTGCAAATATGTGAACACTGGAACATTTACAAGGATTAAAACATACTCACTTTAACAACAAAGTCCATGCTCAGTAATCCAGGTATAAAATCCATCATTTTTCAGTCAGGTCATCTGGACAGTTTCTTTTTTTTTTTTGTGCTGAAACGTTTTGCCTTCGATCCAGAAGGCTTCATCAGTCAAAGAAACACACAACAAAACTGATTATTCCCCAACAGCTTATTCCAAAGTGGAACAAACCAGTTCTTCTTGTGGTAAGATGGTCTCTTTGGTACGCCCCTCCTCCATTGCCGACCCTCTTCCTTGTTGACAGTCTTGTCAAACTGGTTGAATACTCTAACTTTATGCTTTATTTCTATACTTTATCAATTTTTCCACAATAAAAAAATACATAGGCCTACAAAGTTTTTAGTATTTATTATTTAAAAACTACCCCATCCCCCTTACAAGAATCTGTTTTTTTTTTTTCATTTGTCTTAACTTGGAAAAACATAAATTATTATATATTTTTAGCTTTATAATGTCACCCCTATAACGGCCACAAAAGCCACTTCCAACAAACCTAAAGTGGCCCACAGGCCACCAGTTGATAATCACAGCAGGTTGTTGTGCCTTTGATCACTTTTAATTTAGTGAACAAAGGTGTGAAATGGCTCTTTTGATCATAAAGGTTGCAGACTCCTGGCTTGGACCAATACTCTACTTTGTATATGCTTCCATTGGGATAATTTTTCATTGTTATGTTGATGATAGCTGATTATATTTATTCATGAAACCAGATGAGTCCAATCAGCTACTACAAGCATGTCTTAAAGATATAAAATTCTGGATGACCCTTAATTTTCTGCTTTTAAACTCAAACAAGACAGAGGTTGTGGTTTTTGGACCTGGGCATCTTAGGAGTAAATGTTGCTGCCTTTCACTTCCTTCATAATTTGGCCTCCAGTTGTAATGTCAAAAACCTTGGTATTATTTTTGATCAGGACATGTCTTTTATCCCCCACATTTAAAACGTTACTGGGATTGCGTTCCTCCACCTGCGTAATATCTCTAAGATTAGAAACATCTTGTCCAAAAATGATGCAGAAAAACTGATCCGTGCATTTACCACATCTATGCTATTGGGGGAGTGGTGGCGCAGAGGTTCAAGATGGGCCTGTGACTGGAAAGTCACATGTTAAACTCCCGGTACCGTCAACATCAAAAATGTGGGTGGAAAAGGTGAAGCACCCACTCTGGACCCCTGAGCAAGGCCCTTAACCCCCACGATCTGCTCCCCAAAAAAACAGGCCTCTCTTGAAAATGAGTTCTCGTGACTCAATGAGACTACCTGTATAAGTAAAGAGTAAATGAAAAAAAAAAAAAAACGTTGGACTATTGCAATGGTTTATTATCTGGGTGTCCAAAAAATATTTTAAAAGTCTTCAGTTAATCCAAAATGCTGCTGCCAGAGTCTTAACTGTAGTTGGTAGGAGAGATCATCTCTCTCCAGTTTTAGCTTCTCTCCATTGACTCCCTGTCAAGTCCAGAATAGAATTCAAAATTGTACTTCTACAAAGCTCTCAACAACCTAGCTCCATCTTATATTACAGATCTTATTGTTCCATATTTTCCCAACAAAGCACTTGGCTCTCAGACTGCAGGTTTACTCGTGGTTCCTAGAGTTTCCAAGAGCAGAATGGGAGGAAGATCTTTCAGTTATCAGGCTCCTCTCTTGTGGAACCAATTTCCAGTTTCTGTCTGTGAGGCTGACACATTGTCCAGTTTTAAGATTAGGCTTAAATATGTCATGTTTCATAAATAAGTTAAAAAAGTAATAAAAAAATCAAAGTTGGGGTCGGCTTGGGTTTACTGAGCTAACCCATTATGCTTCAATAGACTTAGACTGCTGGAGGACAAACTGACCACAGTTCCTCTCTCTGCTGCTCTCTTTGCTTGCTCCACTCTACGTTAGTATTTACGTATTTCTATCTTTAACATGTTATTTTATTTTTTTTGTCTTTCTTCCATTAAAAGTACACCTGGACCATTCCATGTTTGGTAGTTTCTCCTTCCTGTCCTCTCAAACCCCAGCCGGTCGATGTAGATGACCGCTCATCCTGAGCCTGGTTCTGCAAGAGGTTCCTTCTTGTTTAAAGGGAGTTTTTCCTTTCCACTGTTGCCTTTGTGCTTGCTCAGGGTGGGAGACTGCAACAACGTAAAGATTCAACACAATTGGCTTGCTTTAATAGATAACTTTTACTAAGTGTTTTCTTTTATAATATAAAATGTAAATGTCTGTTGTGACTTGGTGCTATATAAATCAACTGAACTGACATATATTAAATTGAATCATTTACATAACGTGGCATCACCAGGGAAACTCACTTAGGAATTCACCATTTTGAAGACGTGCGAAACCTTAAGTGTGCATGGGTGTTAACCAAGTCCTTACCTTTATCATTTCCTGTTGAAACGTCCACTCTGCACTTTCTTGCTCTTGATTTCCTGACATCAATAGACATCATGTTTTAGCACCAGTTGAACATACCCACAGCTTTATTTTAATTTGATGTCACGTCTTCACATCATGTTACTTTTCTTAGTGAAATACATCCAATCAATGTTACCTGTGGGAAACATTTTAACCAGGGGCACCACTAAAGGGGTGCCAGGGGAGGCAATAGAAACAACATAGCGGTACCTGAAAATCTATTGTAGCTTTAAGTTTTAAACCTTCTGGTGGTGACACCTCTCCAATTTAGTCCCCCTCCTGTAACAGTTTCCACTTGAATTTAAATGAGATACCACAATAACTACATATGGAGAGGGGAAAAAAAACGCTGTTGATGGCTGCTGTTGTTGTAATGAGCCACATTAAAATACAGTAAAAACTTTTGAATCTGTGGTTTTATATTGAGATTGTAAAGATAAGTATCTGGCACGTTATTGCTCTACAGGGAAACAACTTCATCAGCAGTGAGGGTTATGAGACTATTATTCAGAGACTTAATGAAGGCCGGCGGACATGTAAAGACATGGAGGAGCTCTTGAAACTGAGGTGGGTTGGCTAATTTATGATGAAATGTACCCGAGTTTATAAATGGACCTGATGTGACCTGTAATTCTGTATCTGTTCGTTTATGCAGGGCAACCGCTGAAGAGAAATATGGGAAGGAACTGGTTTCCATTACCAAAAAGGCCTGGGGGTTGGTGGAGATTTGGTGCGTGCATATGGGTTCATTTGTGCCTAAATGACCTATCATTCTTTGTTTAACCTTTTAGTGAATCATAACATGGTATAAACTTGTGTTTAAAATATATATATATATATATATATGATTTTCCTCTTTCAGCACATTGAGAGCATCATTTGATGAAATGAAAACACGTAAGCATGAGTTATGCTGTCCACACTGTTTCACATGTTCATTTTTTGTTTGTTTTTTGACTCGATCAGTTTTTTTGAACCTTGTGTATTTTATTTGTTAATTTTTTTCAGAAATTGAAAATGTAGGAAACTTGCACATTCAGTTGTCTGGGCTCCTAAAGGAGGAAGTGAGGCGAATGGAGGAGTTCAGAGAACGACAGAAAGAACAGAGAAAAAAAGTATGCCCCCCATTTTTAAAATGTATTATGTAATAAAAGAAGTAACACAGTTTCCTCTTTCTAACGTAAATGTCCCTGCCATCCAGTTGGAAGTCATCATGGAGAAGGCCCACAAGACAAAAGTGTCCCTCCACAAGAAGACAGTCGAGGTCAGAACAGTTCATCTTAATAGAGCTCAAAGATTTGTGATTATATTTGTTAATCGTTTTAGAGAGACTCTTTCTTTTGTGTGAATTCTTATTACACAAGATCATAGAAGTTGCAAACAATACAAATGATAAGGTTTAGTCAGGAAAATGACCTTATGTGAAAATATGCAACAGAACTGTGCATTGCTTTGCATCAAGAGTGAAATCTTGATGTGGGGTTTCTAACATTTGGGTGACGTAATGGATAAAAAAAAATACCAGAATTTAATTTTTTTTTTTTTACTGTTGAAGTGCTTCAGATTTGTTTCTGTTGAGAGGAAGGAAGTGTGTGGTCTCATCTCTCTCAACTGAATCCCTCCACCCTTTTCCTACCAAGAGTTCAGCGTGAACCGTTAATGAACGAGGTACGGGTGACAAACTTCAGTTTCTGTTTTCTACACCTGCAGTCTAAAAAGATCTATGAGCAACGCTGCAAAGAGGCGGATGAGATAGAGCAAATGGCTGAAAGGCTGGGCATCGCTCCCACAGCAACTCCCAAACAGATCGAGAAGGTAAATAATATATGTCGACTAATTACGGAAGTGTTTTTTGAAGCCGAGCACGTGGGAACTCCAACATCCTTACAAATAAACTCTCAACAAAGCTTAAATATGAATAGTTGAATTAAAGATTACTTTGCTCACAAAAAAATAATAAAATTGATCATCTGAGTCTAGCAGCAATCATCGTCACTTGTGTTTTGACTGGTTATTAACAGCGCTCAGATGGAATTAATTTTTTTTTTTTTTAATTTCAAGTAACAAATGAAAGGTAATACTGTACAATGAAATGAGTCAGAATATAATTACCAGTGATCTGGCACCAACTTCATACATCCTTATTAAAATAGTTAAAAGACTGTATTGCGAAATTAATGCTCTTTCTGCAGTACTCCCCATTTTTATTAGTTTGTCACCAATATTTCACAACTAACTGAATTTTGCAAGCCTGCTGTAATAAAACAGGACCAAAGCAAAAAAAAACAGAGTTTTTATGTACAGTAATTTCATGTTACTTAGTTTTCATAAGACTAGATCTATGGATTATAATGTCCACATGAGCGTGTTTGGAAGCAGTTATTCAGGAAATAGTGTTACTCAAAACTTGTGTTTGTTATTGTAAACTATTTTCTCAGAGAATCATCTTTCATCTGACTAAAATTTGACTGTGTAATGAACATGTCATTCGTGGCATGAGCTTTGGTCAGTGTGAACTGAAAATAAATATTTTATTGATAGAAAAGAACACAAAAACAATATATGGCTGATTAAACCCTGGCTTATTTTTTCAACTTGGACCTAAAACGTTGAACATCGTATTGCATCCATTCATCGCAAGGCCAAACAAAACAACACTCAGCTCTGTGGATAAAATGAACTTCTTTCAAGCATAGGTCATGCCTATAGAAGTTGGGTTCTGTGGAAAGGTTATGAACAAATAATGTCTTACCTGTTGAAGATAGCTCTTCAAGCAAAATGTGAACTGCAATAATATTTTTACTATTATAATTGTTTCAAGATGGCAGTAATCCACCCTTGCTGTGACTAGCAGTTAGCTTGACAACAGTCAGAAATAAGTCACTTTTATCCAAATTAAAGCTGTTCGAAGAGTTATCTGAAACAGGTGAGATATTTGTTAATAACCTTTCTACAGAACCCCATTTTAAAAGATGAATTGCTGCTTTTTGAAAAAAACATCAACTGAGGTTTTCACTTCCATCTTATCAAAACTGTAAATTAGAGAAAAGACAAAATGCAGTATGACAGTGATACGGATGTTTCTGAAACTGTGCTCTGAAGTAGATTTTGTCTTCTCCCTTTTTCTCCTTAGATGAACAGCAAATCTAAGCAGTGCAGGGAAGCTGCAGTCGAAGCTGGTAAGAAGGATGAACACACTAAAGAACCAGTTCTGTATGTTGGCAATAAAAATGTTTTGTCACAGAAGCTGCTGCGGTTTACCAGAAACTTTTTTTTTTTTTTTTTTAGAATAGTGGTCATATTAACTTCTTTTTTCTGGTTAGTGTAAAGAAAAGTTTAATTCAAAGAATTTAAAGCCATGGTTTTTTTTTTCTTTTTTCCAGGCGTTCTTTAGAACTCATACCATATGTAAAATCGGTGTAATTTGTCTGTTTGTGTTTAGAGAAGCAGTACAGGTCCAACATTGAACAGCTGGACATGATTCGTCTGGAATGGGAAATGACACATGTGGAAACATGTGAGGTACGATGCATGAAGCTGTAGTTTTCCTCCAAATGCTTGCTCGAGATTTACCAGTAGTTCTTTCTAAATGTTGTGCATAGTTAGACATGGGTCAAACAAGGATATATGATACTTCCCCTAAGCCGACTACACGGTGACTCATTAAAGTTAAAAATATATATTTCCGTGCAGCAGTGAGATAGCATCATCATCAGAGCTGAAGCAGACATGCAACTGCATAAGGGCAGCTGTCAGTGATACCTTACAGAACAGGACATGTTCAAGCCCAAAAGAGGAAAAAGCATCAGTGAATAAACTGCAGTGCTGTTGTGGCGATGTATTTGCCCCCTACAGATTTCTTCTGCTTTTGCCTTTTTGTCACACTTAAATATTTAATCAAATTTCATCATCAATATCAGCAAACAGTTTTAAATATCAGACGAAGGCAACCTGAGGAAACACAGAATGCATTTGGTGAATTGGCCCTTAGTAAAAAAAAAAAAAAAAAAAAAGTAATTTCCCCTCTTGGTAAATCATGATTTAACTGTTTTTTTGTTGTTGTTGTTGTTTGTTTGTTGAAAGCTAAGCTCTTTTTCATTGCCACATTCAGGCCTGATAACTGCCAGACCTGTATAATCAAGAAATCCCTTAAATAAATCATTATTTGTAAATTGCTATAAACATGGAAGAGTGGTGAGTCTTCCCAGGAGTGTCCTGCTGACCAAAATTACGGTAGTCCAAGTGCATCGACGACTCATCCAGGAGGTCTCTAAAAAGTAACCAAAAACATGTAAAGCCCTCACTTCCATCAGCTAATGTTAGAGTTTACGATTCAACAATAAGAGATAAAAAAGGCAATGACAAGGAAGAAACCACCGCTGTGCAAAAACAACATAAAAGACCAACTCACATTTACAAAAACAAACAAAATAGTTTTGAGTTTGGGTGATTTATTCTGTGGACTGATAAGACAAAAGTGAACATTTTTGGACGGCTTCTCTCTTCACATCTGGTTTAAAATGAATACTGCTTTTCAGAAAAAGAGCAGCGTACCGACAGTAAAACATGGTGGATGTAGTGTGATGTCTGGGCCTGCTTTACTACTTTGCTGCTTTGCTCTGCCTGTTTAAATGTTCTGGACCGTGTTGCTCCCCTTAAAACCAGAAAAACTAAACTTAAATCAGAGCCTTGGCTGAATGACGTCACTCGAGCCGTTAGGCGGCAGTGTCGCAGAGCTGAACGAAGGTGGAGGAAGGACAGGCTGCAGGTTTCTTTTCAAATGTTAAGGGAGAGTTGGCGTCACTATCAGAAAACCGTTAAAGCTACCAAATGTAAATTCTTCTCTGATTTAATTGTCTCCAACTCCCACAACCCCCGAGTTCTTTTCTCCACCCTGAACTCAGTTCTACACCTCAGTGAGTCTTCACCTCTGGAAGCCTCAACTGAGCTGTGTGAAAACTTCCTCCATTTCTTCTTAGAAAAAGTGGCAAACACCCGGGCACTCATTTCTCCACCAGCTCATGATCTGTCCATCCCTTCTCAGTGTGTGGCTGTGTTTGACCACTTTGAGCCCATCTCTCTGTTCTCTCTGGAGCAGGTAATGTGCAGCATGAAGCCATCTGGTTCCCCCTTTGATGTGGTCCCCCCTCAACTACTAAAGGAAGTTTTTCCTACCCTGGGTCCTTTTATCCTCGCTATTCTGAATAGCAGTTTATCCTCAGGTGTGCTGCCAAAAACTTTTAAACATGATGCTGTCCAGCCCCTCCTGAAAAAAACCTAACCTTGACCCCTCAGTCATATCCAACTTCCGGCCTGTCTCCAGACTCCCATTCACCTCTAAACTACTGGAAAAAAATTGTGGAGTCTCAGTTGAAACAGTTTTTTGGGGGATCACGCTATCCTAGAGTTATTCCAATCTGGCTTCAAATCTCTCCATAGCACTGAAACTGCTCTACTGAAGGTTTTTAACGACATTTTCATATCCACAGACGCAGGTGATTCTGTGCTGCTTGTCCTATTGGACCTTACATCTGCTTTTGACACCATCGACCACAAGATCCTCATTTCTAGACTGGAGCAGTGGGTGGGCATCACAGGGTCAGCCCTTAAATGGTTTGGGTCCTACCTCTCTGACAGAACCTTCTGTGTCAATATCAAAGATTTTAGTTCGGCATCGACAGCGCTCCAGTGGGGGGTACCGCAGGGGTCCATCCTCGGTCCCCTTCTCTTTTCTTTATACCTGCTGCCACTAGGTGCTATTTTCCGCAAACACAACATACCCTTTCATTTCTACGCCGATGATTGCCAAATTTACTTCCCCCCTGAGGCACAGAGGCACACGCTCTATTCAGCCTCTTCTTGACTGCCTGGCTGACATCCGGGACTGGATGGCTTTAAACTTCTTAAGCTTCAATGAGAAGAAGTCTGAAGTCATGCTGTTCCATCCCAGTGGCTCACTCATGAACCATGACATTGACCTTTTCTCTCTAGCCCCGCTAGAGAAACAAAAGGTCACTAATCTGGGGGTGATAATGGACCCGTCCTTAAAACTCAACAGTCACGTAAACATGATGGTCAAATCCTGTTTTTTTCAGCTGAGACAGCTGTCTAAGCTGAAACCTATACTCTCCAAGAAGAACCTTGAGACAGTGATCCACGCCTTCATAACATCTAGGCTTGATTACTGCAATTCACTTCTGTTTGGAATCAGTCAGTCCTCCATTTCACGTCTTCAACTGGTTCAAAATGCTGCAGCCCGATTTTTAACTGGTACAGGCTATAGAGAGCACATCACGCCAGTTTTGGCCTCCCTGCACTGGCTACCCATTCACCTTCGGATCCAATTCAAAATTCTCATGTACAGGTTCTTCTCAAAAAATTAGCATATTGTGATAAAGGTCATTATTTTCCATAATGTAATGATAAAAATGAAACTTTCATAGATTTCTGATTCATTGCACACCAACTGAAATATTTCAGGTCTTTGTTTTAATACTGATGATTATGGCATACAGCTCATGAAAACCCAAAATGCCTGTCCCAAAAAATTAGCATATTTCATCCCACCAATGAAAGACAAGTGTTTTTAATACAAAAAACGCCAACCTTCAAATAATCATGTTCAGTTATGCACTCAATACTTGGTCGGAATCCTTTTGCATGAATGACTGCTTCAATGCGGCGTGGCATGGAGGCAATCAGCCTGTGGCACTGCTGAGGTGTTATGAAGGTCCAGGATGCTTCGATAGTGGCCTTAAGCTCATCTAGAGTGTTGGGTCTTGCGTCTCTCAACTTTCTCTTCACAATATCCCACAGGTTCTCTATGGGGTTCAGGTCAGGAGAGTTGGCAGGCCAATTGAGCACAGTAATACCATGGTCAGTAAACCATTTACCAGTGGTTTTGGCACTGTGAGCAGGTGCCAGGTCGTGCTGAAAAATGAAATCTTCATCTCCATAAAGCTTTTCAGCAGATGGAAGCATGAAGTGCTCCAAAATCTCCTGATAGCTGCATTGACCCTGCACTTGATAAAACACAGTGGACCAACACCAGCAGCTGACATGACACCCCAGTGACTGTGGGAACTTGACACTGGACCTCAAGCAGTGTGAATTCTGTGTCTCCTCTCTTCCTCCAGACTCTGGGACCTTGATTTCCAAAGCAAATGCAAAATTTACTGTAATCAGAGAACATAACTTTGGACCACTCAGCAGCAGTCCCAGGCGAGATGCTTCTGACGCAGTCTCTTGTTCAAAAGTGGCTTGACCTGGGGAATGCGGCACCTGTAGCCCATTTCCTGCACACGCCTGTGCACGGTGGCTCTGGATGTTTCTACTCCAGACTCAGTCCACTGCTTCCGCAGGTCCCCCAAGGTCTGGAATCGGCCCTTCTCCACAATCCTCCTCAGGGTCCGGTCACCTCTTCTCGTTGTGCAGCGTTTTCTGCCACACTTTTCCCTTCCCACAGACTTCCCACTGAGGTGCCTTGATACAGCACTCTGGGAACAGCCTATTCGTTCAGCAGTTTCTTTCTGTGTCTTACCCTCTTGCTTGAGGGTGTCAATGATGGCCTTCTGGACAGCAGTCAGGTCGGCAGTCTTACCCATGATTGTGGTTTTGAGTAATGAACAAGGCTGGGAGTTTTTAAAAGCCTCAGGAATCTTTTGCAGGTGTTTAGAGTTACGTCGTTGATTCAGATGGTCAGGTTAATAGCTTGTTTAGAGAACCTTTTCATGATATGCTAATTTTTTGGGACAGGCATTTTGGGTTTTCATGAGCTGTATGCCATAATCATCAGTATTAAAACAATTAAAGACCTGAAATATTTCAGTTGGTGTGCAATGAATCTGAAATATATGAAAGTTTCATTTTTATCATTACATTATGGAAAATAATGACCTTTATCACAATATGCTAATTTTTTGAGAAGGACCTTCATATTTTTAAATCACTGAACAGTTCCGCCCCATCCTATCTCACTGATCTTCTGCAGCCAAATGTCCCACCGCGCTCTCTGAGGTCAGCAGACCTGATGCTTCTCTCAGACCCAGAAACCCGTCGCAAGCTCAGAGGTGACAGGGCTTTCTCTGTTGCAGGTCCACGACTGTGGAATGAGTTGCCACTGAGTGTCCGGCAGGCTCCCACACTCTCAGTCTTTAAGTCTCGCTTGAAGACCCACTTCTATTCTCTTGCCTTTAACACGGTGTGATTTGTTTTGGTCCTGTCTGTACTCTACACTGTTGGCCATTTTAGTTAGCTTCTGCTGCTATTTGTATCTGTATTTTTATTTTATGTTTTCCTGTCCGCTGTGCATGTTTGTTTTCTTTTGTACAGCACTTTGGTTGGCCTTGTTGCTGTTTTAAGTGCTCTATAAATAAATTGGTATGGTATGGTATTTCTATGTCCATCTTTTTTTCCAGCAAAAACTGATCTTGATCTAAAACTGGAATGAAAAGTTGCAAGGAACGCTTGGCTTTTTTTCCCCCCTCACGATCTCTAAAACTGTTGTTTTGCAGATGTTTCAGCAGCAAGAAGACGACAGAATCAACGTTTTAAGGAATGCTTTGTGGGTGCACTGTAACCATTTTTCCATGCAGTGTGTAAAAGATGACGAGGTGGGTGTAGCTGGTTGTAAGCAAATGTATTGAAATGACAGTTACAGCAGCACATGATTTGTATTTAGTATCCCTTGTGAACAAACCGCTCTTTCAGTGTTATGAAAATGTACGAAAAATGTTGGAAGACTGTGACATCATAGCAGACAACAACCACTTTGTGGAGACGAAAAGGACAAACTCAACCCCCCCAGGTAGGCATCGCCTGCCTGTGATTTGAATGTTCTTTCACGAGACATTATTTTCATGTTATCATTGCAGAAGGCTTTACTTTAAAAGCTGTTATTTTTTCACAGCTCCAATTATTTACGAGGATTACTATGAAAATAACGCTTCGGCAGAAAGAAATGGCAGTGCTGGATTTGTTGAAGGAGTTAAAAAGAGGTTAAAGAATTAATATACATATATATATATATTTGTTGTTCTTTTTTTTTAGTCTGTGTTGTTTATTGAAAACTTTTCCCATCCTTTAGGTTTTCAAATCTTCTGACAGGAACCTTTAGCTCCAGAGCGAACATCAATGAGCCAATTTCACAATGTGCTGGTACCGGTACAGTACCAAAGTTATTCAAGTTGTAATATGTATTTTAATTACGTCACATTTGACTGCAAATATAAAAGCTACTTTACTTCCTGATAAAAACAAGTTTTTGGAGCAACTACAGGTTGCTGACTAGTAATTATTTACACCAGAGAGTCAAATTAGAGGTTTGTAGGAAATGTATCATGCAAATTTGAAGGAAAATTAGGCCACTTAAATCTGACGTTTAAATATTTTAGGCAGAAATGGCTCCCTTAACTTAAAGATGCTGTGCTGACAAATAACAGGCTGGAAAACTTACATAATTAATGTTAAGTTGGATCCGTTTGTTGAATCTACATAAAATACCAACAATAACAGCTGCATACATAAACTAGTATTTTTTTATTATTACTCCAACGAGCCGTAAGCTTAAAACATAACCAACAGATGATTAGCTGAAGGGCGATAAACTTCTCAGGTTGTTTTTAAGTCTTTAAAAATAAAGGCGGCAAAGACATAAATTTCAAATACTGCTCATTGGCTGTATATACCCATCTTTAAGCCTCACACGTCTTCTTTTGTCAACTTGCCTCATCTTTTAAACCACACACGCCACAATATGTACTGTATACACTATTTTGTTCCACCACATATACCACAGGTGATGCGAATGACAATAAAAAAACCTTGACAATATGCCGTCGTGGTCGGGTTCAAGGACTGAGACTGAGAAAAAAAAAAACATCCAAAACCCAAAGATAAAACTGCGAAACACTTTCAGAAAGCTTAAATGACTGTTGATCAAGAGCACTTTGAAAGGATAAAGAAGTATTGCCCATTAGAAGCAAAAAAAAAAAAAAAAAATACACCAGGATTGTTGTAAAACTTTACACAATACTGTTCCTACACACTACGAGTCACTGCCTACACTAACTGCTTACTTCCTCTCAGCAGGAACACCCGACGGCGTTTATGCTTTCATTTCTGAACCTCAGACGCCACGGTCGAGCAGCGAGGAGTATAAGGCTGTGTATGACTACAATGCACAGGTCTGGTTCTCAACACTCATATGAAGATCTTTTATTGTGAGCATATTCATAGAATAATCGGACGATCTCGTTTGTTTAGGGGAATGACGAACTGTCGCTGTGTGTTGGCGATGTTGTGATGGTGTTGGATAAAGGAGAGGACGGCTGGTGGATGGTGAACAGAAATGGCAATTCCGGATTAGTTCCCGGTTCCTTCCTTACTCAAGAATAAGTCAGCCCGACTGAGTAAAGACATTTCCACGTGTATATTTTTTAAACGTCCTGTAATGTTAGCTCAACATAGATTTTATCGCCTCGCAATGAGGTTGCTGGATTGCCTCGTGGCGTGAGGACTGTTTGTGTGAAGTTTGCATGTTCACCCCATGCACACGTGGGTTTCCTCCCGCAGACCAATAACATGCATGTTAATTGGTAACTCTACATTATTCCTACATGTGAGTGTATGAATGGTTGTTGGTCTTATTTGTCTGTGTCCCAGTATGGACTTGTGACCTGTCCAAAGTGTACCGCCTCTCGCACCATGACTGGAAATGGACAACCCAAAAAGGAAAAAGCGGGTAAAGAAAATTCATGGATGGTATTACTACACATACAGTAATTTACTCATGCATGCCAAGTGCAATACTTAAAATAGAAGGTGGAAATCAACATTGCACTAGTTTCTACCAACAAACTATAACTATATAATTTCCAGTTAACACATACAGATCTGTATATATGGGTTTCAAGATGAAACAGCACAAGTTATTTCAGTATATTTCTGTTTCCCTTGTTGCTGAGGTCAAGTGCTTATCATACTATCAAGGAGACTATTTTGATCTTGTGCAAGATTATAGCACTAAGTTTATTTATTAAAGTCAACTCTTATCTGGTTTTGTACAAAAAATAAACATTTTTTCATGCGTCTTAACATTTATGTGTGGTTGTTAAAGAGTAACAGCTTGTGAAGTGTTTTTTTGTTTGTACATGATGGAAAAATGTTTTCTGATGCATTTGTCATAGTTCTTACAGGCTATTTTAAAGATCGTGTATGAGGAGTGTGTCAAGTCGTTTTGTCTGTCTTGTGGTTGAGTACTCTGTTGTCTACGGTGCTTATCTTTAGTGTTTAGGTCACCTGCTTTTCAGTAACCACAGCAGACACGTTAAAGCTGCTCGAATGCTCAGACGATGCTAAAAGGTAAGTTGTTAAAGTGGAAATAAAAAGGCCATTTCAGTCTGCCGTGAATTACAAGACACACATGCACTATAGGTTAACATGGGTTCTTTATATATATATATGAATATATGAGAGTGAGAGTGAGAGTGAGCGAGAGAGAGAGAAAATTTTAAAAAAGAAAACAGAAGTACAGTATTTAATTTCAAACTTTCATTAAGACATATTCAAATTTTATTCTCAAGTCTCATCTCTGCTTCATGTCAACAAACAATATTCTAAAACTAAAATCAGCCCTTTAAAGTCAAAAACAAGCAGAATGCAAACAAGATCTACTGAGATGAAAATGGATTAACACTTCAAAATCCACACAAGACTTCATTTTGACAATAAAAATCAGACAAAATATAGCCTGTTAAGTTACATGATTTACAAACTAAAACATGCTGCCCATTTTCTCATGCGGATGGTAGTTTTAGCTAATGAACAGAACTAGCAGTAAAAGATAAAAATTATCACTCTTTCATAATAGTACTACAGATTTGAAATAAATATAGCAGTCTATACACACTGGTTGCTACCAAAATTAAATACCATTTACATTTGACTCCACCACTGACTAGTAAAAGTTATCAGAGTTTAATAAGAATGAGCTTTAATAATCTCAGGGCATAAAGCACTGATTCATGCTCAATAATCCAGGTAGATAAATCTAACAAGATTAAGAGTCAGGTCCTCTGGAGGGATTCTTCATTGTTGAAACGTTTCGCCTTTTATTCAGAAGACTTTGTCAGACTGAGGAGCTGCAACAAACTCAAGTCTTTTAAGCTGCACCTTCTCATAGTGAAGTCTTCACCCCTGAAAGAGTGACCGCTGCAGGCCAGTGATCACTCTTTCAGGGATGAGGATGTGCACATCCTTGAAAGAGAGGAACGCTTGTTTGAGAGAGGAGTGAAGGAAGCCATCTTTGTAAAGATAGCCCGTCCATCATTAAACAGGGGCGGAGGCCTTCGTGTTCAACTGTCCCCCTCTTACAATGCTGTTATTGCTAGTATCACTCAGCCCTCTGTGCGTGGCAAGCGGCCATCAGGGCACTAACAACTAGTTATTGTGCTTGCTGATGGTCCTCCTTTTACATGTAAACAACTACTGTAGTTTTGTCTGTCATCAGAAACTGGTTAATCCACTGTGAGAAGGTGCAGTTTATAAGACTGAGTTTGTTGCAGCTCCTCAGACTGAACAAGTCTTTTGTGTAAGACTAAACTTTTCAACAAAGAAGAATCCATCCAGAAGACCTGACTCAACCTCGTTAGATTCAGAGCATAAAGATATCCCGAAACATTGACCTTTAGTGAATTTAGCCTAAAGTTTTTTGAAAGGAAAACATATATATTTATTGTAGTTAGTGTGTCGTGTATGGTAACAGGTTTTTTTTTATGCTCTCACCAATTGCACACATTTTGAAAGTTTGCCGTTTATGCAGGAGTGCCTTCTGTAATGAGAAGCTTGTAGGCAGAGTCTTTGCTTCGGCGGCACAGCACAACACAAGCACAAAGCATCCCCAAAACCTGAGGGAACAAGAAAAAAAAAAAAAACAAGACTCCTCAGTAACTTTGAAAGTCTCTTGATGTTTGCCCAAGATTGAATTTAAGTTCAGCTATATGCTGGTGTAGATTGGCAGTCATCCAGGACATGGTAAATCCAAAAAAGGTTCAAAACAATGTTCAGCAGTGTTTATATTTGTTCAAATGTTCATATTTTGGGCCGTGAAGACAGATGGTTTGTGAGGGGGATGAAGGAAGCCATCTAAACCAACTTTAAACAGAGGAGGAGGTGTCTCAAATTTCAACTTGCAAAAACCTAATGGAGCTTTAGGCCTGATACCCAATCAGTTTCACTCCAATCAAGACCTTCATTCATGTGACCAGAGTGGCCCAATCTGTGCGACAGGCTAACAAAGACCCCAACAAACCTTTATTGTGAGGAGAGTGAGGGTAATCTGCATGTGAATCTAGCTTACAGAACACCTCAATTTAAAACTCAAACTCCACACTCTCTATTCTTTGAATTGAGAAAACTCCTCGGATGAGAAGTGAAACGTCTTCAGCTACAGGACAGAAATCTAGTTATTTTTAACATTTTAACCTGTTTTTAACCTTAAGCACTTTGGTAACAGCTTCTGTTTTAAATGTGCTTTATAAATAAAGTTGACTTTTTTGGATTCAAGTTCAACTGTTCAGCATGTTGGGTGTAAAGACATCTAGTGGCAAAATAACAAACTGCAATCAACTTAATCCGAGTTTTATCTGCTCTCACTACTGTCTCTGAAATTATGAATACAGGTAATTAGGATTTTTTTCTGATAATACGCATGTCTAGTGAGATTCAGCTGGCTTCACACAGAATTCATTCAGCTGTTACCAACTGCGTTAATCACAAAACAACAGGTTTGCAGAAATAATTTAAACCATTTAAAATATAGCTGCCTTCTAAGTTCTGTCTTAATATTGTTTAATATTGAACGATTGTAAACGGAAAAACACTAAATTTCAGTGCCTTTGTGTAAATAGGAGATATTGTTCTTTCATCAATCATAGTTTCAATGCGCATCATTGTAAGAGCAAGAATAGCAGATGCTTTCAAAATGATACTTTAAACACTTTTTGGCTTCTTTTGATCGCCACACTAAATATTTGCCAACATGTTATTTAATAAAATATTAAAATAATTGTAAAAATAATTCCAACAGCAAATATTACATGAGAACATGTGCTTTTTAAGTGTAAAATACCTGGATGGTGGCAAATGTCACGGCAGTCCAGATGACATACATCATGATCTCCTTTAATTTCTTCACAACCAGAGCTTCACAACCCTGTAAACATACACAGTATTCTCAGACACGTAAACCTCTGTAAAGCTATTGTGTTTAAAAATAACAAGAACTTTTTTTACCTCCTGATAGAGATCTTCAGGATGAGTGAGAGAACCTGTGCAGTCGGCAAAGTTAGCTCTGCAGCAACTGATGGGAACACTGTTCTGTTTTGATTCTTCGTACCAGCGGGTGTGCTGCCAGTCTGAAAAGTTGTGGATTCCACAGCACTGAAGCTGAAAATAAACAATAAAAAAAATAAAAACTGGTGCCAAAAGACGTGCAAACCTACACACAGGTAAAGCGTCTGGTTGGATGTGATGAGTTGTCACCTGTCTCTGAACATAGTCGATGGCACGGCTCTGGGCATTGCTGTTGGTGCCGTTGTACTCGTCATAAACTTTGACGATAGATCTATTTACTTCATCTTCAACCTGGTGAGAAAGAAAACGTTGCAATGTTATATTTTTGGAGAAAGTGTATCATGACGGCAAACATGAGCAGACTCGACATGGTTACAAGTGGATGATCGTCTGTGGACAGATATTCACATACACTTGTATTTTTCTCTAAACTGAAAGTTGTTTCTCCTCCATTCACAGCAACAATAATAAAAACGCTTCACATAAAAATGTGCAACATTGTGGAACATCATTTGACATGGCTCCCAAAAGCACTGGATTTTCAGTCCACGCAGTCGGACCTAACTGTGTGCACAGTCTGGCTGGAGTTAAAAAAACAACAAAAAAACAGCAGAAACTTTTTTTTTTTTTACTTTAGGGGTGAGCGATATGGCTCAAACATAATATTGTGATATTTCAGAGCATTCTGACAAAAAACAAAACAGAAATCATAGTCCTTCGACAAAATTAACTTAACATGTTGCTTTGCAGTATTATATAAAAACAAACAAAAAGGATTAATTTTAATGAAATTACTTTATTTAGTATTCAGTCTCAAAGTATAAAAATAAAAATGATCCTTCTGTTATTTAGATTGAAAAAATCTGCACAAAATATAAAATCGACAAAATCTACCACAAAAACTCAAGTGCAGGTGCAGTTCCCAAAAAAAAAAAAATCTAAATAAAATTAAGCTTAAGATCTGATGAGCATAAATGTAACATACAAGAAAAAATATGTTGTAGGATAACGGGATGAATTATAGCTAAATATTTGTACTGTACTTAATACTGCTCATTTTCAGAAGATTATTTTAATATGTTTTGCTGTTAAACCTAAAACTTCAAAAAGTACTACTATTAAATCTAAAAAAAGGTCTACATCTGCATCAACCTCTTAAACCTGTGGGTCAAAATTACACCATACTGTAATTGCAGTCATGGGCCGCACAAAATCACTCCAAGGGCCGCAAATGGCCCACGAGCCACACTTTGGACACCCCTGATCTAGGTAGTTGTTGAACTCGGCCTGAATTCTCTCTTGTGGAGATGATCCTGCTCCTGGTCTGTCACTTACTGCAACCCTCCTTAAAAAGCTTCTGAGGCTCTTCTTTGGCAACTTTGCATCACTTGGGCCCGGGGGGGTCTTCAGCTGACCCTGAAGCTTGTGCTGGTGTTTCAGCTTCCTCTATTCCTGCAGGAATGATTCCATTTCTCCGACTGCTCTGTCTTTTATTACCTGGCTCTTTTTTTTGGTCCATGTACCCACTGTGGATAAAAAAAAAAACAAACAGCTGAGCTGCGCGCTGTTCGTACCGGCAGTTTTCCAGCGTGGGGGTTCAGCGTGAAGGAAGAGGCAGCGTGAGCGATGCCTTGAGCTTTTTAGCTAGCTGATAGCTTAGCGTTACACCAGTAATGACGGGTGGGGTTGCGCGAGGGGTGGATGGTGCGCAATTTGATTCGGTAGGAGGCGTGCTCTATTCTGTTAATGGGCACCCTGCTTGTATAATGGCAGGGGAAACACCTTTTTACGCCATGAAATTAGCATATCATGATATAATTTATTTTCCCGGGCAAGTTTATTTTAACCAGTATCATCGTGACTGATATGGTATGGCCCAGTCCGAACTCTGGTCAACAGACACGGCTGCACTGAAAACACCACAATTGTTTAAATAGCCATGCTTGTGTGTATAGTGCTGTCATAAAGATAAGCTCTGTCACGAGTTAAATGCATATTGACTTAAGTATCACCTTCTTACCTTTGCTCTGTAAACATACCCAAGAACCACCACTGCCACTTCTGTCATGAACACCAGCAGCAGAATGACGACAAACTGTGGATTGAAATTCAAGAATTAGGAAAAACAGATATCAGACACTCTGGACTGTTCAAGTTACCTCCTTCAAATCTATTATTCACACCTTCACTGAATTTTTGTGTTCATTAAAAACGTGATCTGAGCATTTGTCCGATAGTTAAAGTTTGACAATCTGATGCACTAATGTGTTGGTCGTAGTTTACTCACTGTTGTAAGTCCACAGTAGCTCTCCCTCACCGTGGCACAGCAGCCAATGAGCCCGATAATGAACAGCAGGGCTCCGACTGCTATGATGATCACAGCTGGGATGAGAGTGTACACGTCTTCGAAGAAATGGTCATAATCATCGAAAGTAATGAACACGTAGGCCCCAACGTAGCACAAGATGCCAGCAGCAGCCTGTTGGTGGCAACACAAAGAAATGTTTCAATTTGAAAGATACTTTTAAATTCTTCATTTGTTCAAAAATAAAGACTTAAATAAGTCCACTCACTGAGGCACCAGGATAAAAATATAGAAACACCAAGATGCTACACTTTCCAAAGGTGACTGTAACAACTTCCTGCATGTCGTTCTGCATAAATCCAGACGTCTCTGACACTAGTTTGCAGAATTATGCGACAAATCTTTAAACACGGTTTGTTTTAAATTTACAGTCCCCTACCGTTTGAGATTTTTTCACAAATGCACGGCCTGATTAACAGCTGACTCGTCCAAAAACAGTAAAGCAACCCCACACCATAATCATCCCACCACCATGTTTTACACTTGGAGTATTAAACGTTTCCTCCAGAAGAACTACCTGAATTTGCTAGGACCACCAGTTTGGGCTGAATCCAAATCTGATTCAAAGCATTTCTTTCCTTTTTATCTTTAATTTTTAAACATTTCTACTCTTTTGTTAGACCTCTGCAACCACGCCTTTTTGTTGTTGTTCTGATGGCTGCTCATCTCTGCAGGGGTTGTCATAGCGCGTGAACTCGCCGAATGCCCCCCAAAAACTCAATATAGGCTCAAACTAGCAAAGAAGATTACTAGGCTGCGGCACTTAACCACTGAGCAACCAGTGACTGTGGGCTGTACGGGGATCAACCCTACAACCTTAGCTTTATTAGCACTACGCTCTGATCAACTGTGCTAACTTGCTTAATGCAACCACACCTTTCTAATTCCTAAAAATAAGTGTGGCTGCACACTTTAAATCTTCAAGCCATAACATTGTTGTATTAAAAGTTGTTCGTAGATGTTGACAAGTTTGAATAAAACAGGCCAGTCCTTAACCTTCAAACATTAGTATATTTATTTATATTAAATAATGACCTATTTGTATCAGTCATACATGCAGGAGTGTGCTTACTTGTTCTGTACGAGTCTAAACTTTTAAAAACTTTTTTTTTTTAAATTCAAATCACAATTTTTTTAATAAATAATTATGAATAAAGTTAATTGCATTTTGAGTGTATTACCTAATTAACGGTCACTCTTTTCAACACAGAATGTTTTGTCTTAGTCTCTTGGGTTGTGATTAATATATAGCACTTACTGAAAGCAAATATCTAAAAATATACTTGAACGATTCAGCTTTTATTTAGTCATTAAGGTTGCAACTGATTTAAACTCCACACTTTGTTTTGACTGCTATAATTTCTTTCAACCATATTTACCCAAAATATAGCACTAAGCAGATTATCCTGATGCCTGCTCAATAATCCAGGTAGAAAAATCTAACAAAGTTAAGTCAGGTCCTCTGGACGCATTCATTCATACTAAAAGTAGATTCTTCTCATATTTCAATGTTTAATTTTCGTTGTAATTGTGCACAATATGACAGTGCATAAACACTTACTTTGTTGGTATATGTTACGTGTAATGTTATATATAAGCATTTATTCATCGATGAGAACTGAGAAATGCTTTACCAACTTATTTATGCATTTTAAGCAACAACCACCATGTTTTGCTGCATCGTTTTTCTTGAAATGTCAAAGATTAAAAAAAAAAGCCAAGGGTCGCTTTACGATTAAATGTGTCTATTAGGCAACATTCCCAAAGTGAATGCCTGCTGGGTTTCAAATGAACCCTGAGGACACAAGTCGAGCTAATGAAGAAGCTAGTTTACAGTTAGTAACAGCTCGTGACGCACGTTTGAAAACAACTGGCACAAACTCAACGAAACTTACCCAAAATATCAGGTTCAAGAAGACCAGGACGGTTTTCGAGGACGTGATGCCACACTGCCCCATCGTTAACGAGGAATTTTGATGCTCACGCAAGGAAAAAATAATGTTCGCTTCTACTCAGACATTTCGCTGCCAACTCCACGGTGATGAAACTACATTTCCCGACGGGTCTGTGCGCGCGAGAGCAAGTACGAGGGCGGTGCCAACGCAACCGGAAGCACAGCAGCGAGCAGGAAAAACAAACGTGAAAACTAACAGAACAAAATATAATGAAGAGTTTAAAAATATCAATATTATATATATGCTATACTATATAAGTCGTCAACCTTCTGTAATGAACGCCTGTTTTTTTCTCTCTGTGAAATAATTCAGAGAAATAATCGTTAGTGGACATAAATGTAAAATGAGGTGCGTTTGCTGACATCTAGTGGCCAAACTAATGACGCGTTAGGTTTGGTCATTTATTTTAAACAAAACCATCTTCATTGTCAGAATCAGGCAACTTAGAAAACAACTATCTAAAACAATATAAAAAATATAGAAACATAATATAAAAATAGAGACGTTAAAATTGAAGAATTACCAACAAAGTATGAAACATAAAAATATAGATCAAATCTAGAGTCAGAGAAGCTGAAATATATTTGTGATTCTCACAAATTCAAATAAATGTAATGGCATATGAAGCATTAAAGAAGATGGTTAACCAATTTTATGTTTTATTCTAAAAATGTTTCTTTATGAGCAATAATGAACACAAGTTCAAGATTGGGTTCAAAGCAAAAGAAACAGTCATATTGAGAGAAACGTGAATTTATTGGAATTATTGACAGTATGGGTTTGAAAGAAAGCAGATATACTGTGTAACTTTTTTGTGCAATGTTCACAGTTTCATACATGTATTTGCATTCAAAATAACATGCTATTTTTATAAGAAAATTCTCAACCACAAGCCTGTTATCTAACTGCTGTCAAACAAATCTTAAATTTTAGTTTTACAGAAACTAAAGTCAGCATGTGTGCCAAATATTTTGTCCCAGTGACTGAAGTGAGGTGCAAAGTTGGTGTAGGGTTTCTGGTGGTGCACGTCATGCTTGCTCGGTCCTCCATAAATGCCAAGTGGTATTAGACGTGATGTGGACCAGGGAAAATCATAACCGCAGTGATCCTCCACTGAAACATACACATGCATTATCATAAAAGCCCATGTCGTGAGTAAATGAGATCTCAGGATCAGAGGATTTACAGTTGTCCAAAACCCCACTGTGACCAGCTCCCAGCCACCCAGACACTGCGTGGCAAGAGCAAAGGGAGAAGAGTACTTGTGGTGGATGGCGTGGAAGGTGACATACAGCCAGCGGATTCTGTGATGCAGCAGGTGCCAAATAAAGTACTGGAAGTCAAAGAGCAGGAGATTGCCTATTACACCAACAATCAGCTCTAGCAGGGTCGGAGCCTGGTCTGGCAGGTCCACAGGTGGTCTCCAAAGCCACTGAGCTACAGATGCTGGGAGCACAAGGAACACATGGTTGTACAAGGTGACACCTGCACAGTGCAGCAGCGTAGAAGCTGTCGGTCGATGGCTTGGTTGTATCTTGAATAGCTGGACCCACAGCCACCTGTCCCCCATCATGTCACAAACAAGATAAGGGATGCAGAAGATAAAATAGGAAGAGACCGTCACCGCAACAGGGAAGAGCGGAGATCTCAAATAGTCCCTGTAATTGAGCCTCAAGCTGTCCCAAAAAGGCTGCAGCAGAGATTTTTCCCCCAAGTAATTTGTCCAAATAGGTACAATGTTCTCTGCAAACTCCATCCTTGAGAAAAAAAAATAAAAAATCACAGTCAAATTTAGAGAATGCTGTAGATGCTTCAGTCAGATACGACAGCTTGGATAAACCATTTGTTCTGTGGGTGTGTTTGTACTTTTCACTCAGCACGGCATCAAGTGACAACTGGTGCAACAAATTATTCATACACCCATACAGTTAATTGGTAACTTAAAGCGCCCTCTCCACATGATAAATTGTTCATTATGAAGATTGTAGCCAGAGGAAGTAAGAAGGGTGATACTTTGCTCTTGTTAAAGGGGACACCTCATCGAATGGATGTATTGGTGATATTTAGATTAATTTACTCATTCACCCTTATTGAATATGATTTCATCACAGGAAATATTCACCATAATCATCATTAGAAATAAAAAGCCTGAAGTTGCCTTTTAATATTATTCTAGTTTTAGAATAATACTGTATTTGTAAAACTATAATTGTTTAAATCAGGTTGATTTATATGAACCTAATTTAAACAATTATACTAACTTAATAATTTAACTGGATTAATCCTTCATGGTCTGAAGGAAGATTTTGATCATAAGCTTTATCTAAAACATACAAATCTTTATAATTAGGATCTATGTTTAGGTTTTCTACACACAAAAAACTAGATAGTTTAGACTTTTTTTGAAAGTTATTTTTGGAATTCCGGCCAGAAAAATACCAATAATTCTTACAGTTTGTCAGATTAGTTTAAGAAAAGATCAGATTAGAAGTTTATCAATTTGCTTCAGATTAATGTGTCATAGCTAGACCCAACATCACTTTTCTTATCACCATCCCATCATTGTTTCACCATGAATAATACCGTGCAGGTTGAATGTTCCTGACCAGGCCTGTGGAGGGATGGGGTGAACCTGCGAGTCAACTGTGGAGGTCAACAGATTGAGCAGGAGGTTAACTGAGAGGGCTACGGTGACATATATAGCACATTTAAAAACAAGTTTGACAGAAGTGCTTACTAGATGGTAAAAAAATAATAAATCAAGGGGAAAAAACCAACAACAATACAATTTCAGAAAATCCTCCATAAAAACCAACACAATAAAATAGGTTACAAACCAACTAAAATAAGGAAACACCACAACATAAAATATCTAATGGAACTCAAACTGAGTTTGAATTAAAAACCAGTGTGAAAATTTAAGTTTTTAGGTGGGATTTAATAGACTGCGCAGAAAATCAAGGTGCAGGTTGTTCCCGTCTCAAACAATCTCTACACAAAACACTCTTTAGCCAGCTCATATAAATAACAACAAAAAGACTCGGTCATGACTAATTTAACTTTTAAACCAAACAGTTGATGGAAAGATATGAGTCCAGTTCAGAGGTCATACAGGGAGGCCCCCCTTCATGCACACACTTAAATGTATTTCTGTTTGAGAGAAATGACTTTGCTTTCTCTGGTCCGTGTTCAGTGTGGTGCACACAACAATAACGAACGACGCACTGTCATGTTTGGTCCTTTACACAAGGAAAAATCAAACCTAAAGGCACTTGTGATACTAATTAAGGGTAAACAGTTTGAAACATGACTGAAAAATGGAATGATTAAAGGGTACCAACGAGCCCGGCCGTACTATTTTAGCATTAAATAAATAGGCAGTCGTTTGTTTTCTGCTTCTATCTCACTAATTGTTTGCAGATCTTATTTAAATTAGACTTCAATGGACTTTAAGCAGCAAAGAGGAAACACTATGACAAAAAGAGATTAAATCATGTCATCTGGACAGTTTCTTTTTGGTTTTAAAGTCGCCTATGTGTCCTCCCAGCCTGCAGGGGGCGACAGTAATTAATTCCGGTCTTACGCACGAGGCGCTCGTCAGTTCCTGAGACTTTATTATTTTGTTTCCGCTGTGGAGCTCGTTCTGTAGTTTGGGTCAGTGGGATGTCATCGATGGGTTCTGATCTTTATGTTTGCCTGCTGAGTTTGTTTCTGTTCAACGATTCGGGATAAATATGAGCCAACTGGAAAGCTCGGCGGACGTAGACGCCTTAATTAAAAGACTGGCGGATCAGTCGGGGACTAAGTTTGTCACTTTTTCTGTGGACCGACATTATAATGAGAAAGGTAAACAAAAGGCCGACTGAGTGAGCTACATAAAGCTAGCGATCTAAATTAGCATCATGTTAGACATTACATTGAGCTTGACTGCTAGCTTTCATATAAACACTAAACTAAATGTTAATATGTCAAAAGTCATCATGATATTTATTCTAGTGTCTCATGTTATCTTATATTATGCTGTTAGTTTGCCACAACTGTAAATTAATTAAGAGTGACGTTATCAGGAGTCTATACAATACTGTAGTATACAGATGTAATAACTTGACTAATTAGCATAAATTAGTAGTTGGGCTTCTTGTTTGCTCTGGTGATGAACCGACTAACAGATGAGGTCAGGCAGGAATCCCACTCATCTATGATGTTTGCAGATGACATTGTGATCTGTGGTGAGAACAGGGAACAGGTGGAAGAGAACTCGGAGAGGTGGAGGTATGCACTTGAAAGAAGAGGAATGAAAGCCAGCTGCAGTAAGACAGAGTCCATGTGTGTGAATGAGAGGGAGGAGGTGGAACAGTGAGGCTACAAGGAGCAGAGGTCTCAAAGGTGCAGGACTTCAAGTGCTTGGGGTCCACTGTCCAGGAAAATGGGGAGTGTGGTAAAGAGGCAAAGAAGTGAGTCCAGGCAGGATGGAGTGGATGGAGAAAAGTTTCAGGAGTGATTTGCAACAAAAGAGTGTCAGCAAAGGTCAAAGGAAAAGTTTACAAGACAGTGGTGAGACCAGTTGTATGGTCTGGAGACAGAGACATGGACAAAAAGACAAGAGAAAGAACTGGAAGTGGCAGAAATGAAGATGAGTTTCTCCTTAGGAGTAACAAGGATGGATAAGATTAGGAATGAGATCATCAGAGGTCACAGGTTGAACAACTGGGAGATAAAGTTAAAGAGACCAGACTGAGATGGTTTGGACATGTCCAGAGGAGGAACAGTGGGTATACTGGTAGAAGGATGTTAGAAATGCAGCTGCCAGGAAAAAGACAAAGAGGAGATATATGGATGCAGTTAGAGAGGACATGGAGGTAGTTGGAGTGAGGACAGAGTGAGATGGGGGAGGATGACTTGCTGTGAAGACCCCTGAAGTGGGAAAAACTGGAAGAAGACGACGTTCCGGTTCTTCGGTTTCTTTATTCTGTCACTAAAACTGACTTTAGAGAGCTCTTGAACATTTTAGACAATGTTAGGATAATTTAATATTGTCCTTGTAGCTCATTAAATAAATATGCCACACAGGAGAAGTATATAATTTTCTTAATCCCAGGTTTAATCTTGCAAGATGGAACAGAGGTTGAGATTTTAAAAATCCAATGGGATTAACCTGTCTAAATAAATGTTGACTGAATGACAAAAGTACACGAGTTTTACATGACGCTTCGTCTCCAAGTCTGTTCAAAGAGCGCACGAGGAAATGTCTTTTTATAAAGTTATCAGACGAAGACCAGGTCAGACGACTCTGCAGCCTCCTTGCTTATTCTGGTGAAAGGCTCCATGCGTATGCAGCGCTCAGTCCAGTCGTAACAACCCTTAACACACACACAACCATCAAAATAAACGTTCAAACTAGTCTGTACTAAATGTTGTTTGTGTAGAAAAATAGAGACAACAGAAATTAACTATTTTTTTGTTAATTAACTCATAGATTTGATCGTCTCAGTGAGGATCAGGATTTTTTTCTAATACAGTTGGTAGCTTCATGAAACCTTTATTTTTATTGCAAACTTTTTTAATATATTAAAAAGTACTTATCTAAGTATCCTGATTCATGCTAAATAATCCAGGAAGAAAAATCTAACAAAGTTAAGTCAGGTCATCTGGATGGATTAAAAGATAAAAAATAAAACAACTTGTTGAAATGTTTTGTATTTAATCCAAAAGACTTGGAAGTATTTTGGATTAAAGATGAAACATTTCAACAAGTTTTTTTTTTTTATCCATCCAGACGACCTGACTTAACTTTGTCAGACTTGTTTAAGTATATAGTATAACTTTTAATTTATATGAAAACTTGCTAAATCAGTGATTATTCCTGCTTTGATGGTGAGTAGCAGGTACTGTAAATGGTATGAATTAGTTTTTTGACAAAAAAATAAAGTGTTTTCCTACAAATCTCTTCATGTAAATGTGAAACGTGTACTCTAAACGAACTAGACAAATATATATATATATATATTTTTTTTAAACTGCAGTGTGAATGTTTAATGTCTATGTCTAAATTTAGCTGAAACAGCTAAAACTGAGTTGTTAGAGCTAAAGGCAGCATGACTTTAGCTGAAAGCTATAAAGGAGAATACCTTAGCTCAAAGCTAAAAGAAACAGCACTCTAGCTAGCTAAAAGACAAAACTAGCAAAAGGATAGCTAAGAATTGTAAAACATGAACTAAGGGCTAGCAAAAGGCTAGCTCAAAGTTACTTGTTAAAAGAAGTTAAAAGAAGCTTAAAAATAGCCAAACACTAAAAGCAGCAAAAGCTTAGTTAACAACTAAAAAAGAAAAAGGCTTGTAAAGTAGCAAATGGTAGCTAACAAATAAAATCTAGCATAATGTTTGCTGAAAGTTAAACTAGCAAATGTTTAGCTAAATGTATCAGAACGCTAGCTAAAAGTTCAAAGAGGCTAAAAGCTAGCTAAGTAACTAAAAGTGGCATAAAAAGACAAAATTAGAGCAAGTATGCTGAAGCAGATTTTAAACAAAATAATATTTCTGAAGATATTAAAGAGATCTCAATGTATTTATGTGAGACGATATTTCTAAATAAAGTTAAATATTTTGAAAAGTGTAAAAGTAAAAGGTACTGAAACCCAAGTCATAGCAGCCACCTCCTAAATGAGCTGAACACTTTGATACATGAAGGGCTAAAACAGCACAAACTACACAGAAGTACTGTAGTTTGATTAGAAAAAATGTACAGAAAACTAAAAAGTTGTGTGAATCAGCGTGTTTTATGTATGTACTTATGTGTTTTTAGTATTGTAATAGATTATTTTTACTCATAACCAAAGGTCTTGACTGCAGTCTGACTGTCCTTTAGTAATCTCAGTATGTTCTGGGTATGTGATTGTTTGGAGTCAGTAGTGAAACGATGGATCTGCTCCACAGACTGGCAGCCTTCGCCTATGAACCGAGTGCACTGGCAGTGGGCCGGCGGCTCGGGGATGCCAGCCATCGAGTTCACCGGTGTCCCGTTTATGTTCGTGGGCTCGAAAAGGCTCGTGTGCCACCAAGGCAAAGACCTCGCTGTTTCTCAGAAAAGGAAGTATTTTGAGGAAAAGGCTAGAAAAATGGTGAGTTCACTCCCGGACACAAATGACACTGACACTATGGAGACAATATACATTATGTTCTCATTTGTCCTCGTGCTGTGAAGTTGGAGGAGCAGAGTTTAGGCAACCAAAAATCTCGGCGGCCGACCACAAAAAAGGTGGGATGTCCTGCAGCCATATCCATCAGCAAGATCGCAACCTTCCCCGAGTTCAAGGTAGCTGCTGCTGTTTCCAGCTGGATGTGACAGCTGCAAAGCATTTATGATTTCTACAATAAAATAAATCTGTTGTTTTCCATCATCAAACTAAAACGCCAGGTGGATGATAACACAGAAAGGAGTAAGAAGACCGCCTCGAAGATGCTCAGAGTGGCCTTAAAGAGGGATCCAGTTGTTTGGGAGACACGCTACGCTGTCACACATTCAAGTGAGCATGCAGGACATGCAAACAGGAGACACGGTAACGAAACGACTCTTAGAAGGATCTGCTTAGGAGTTAAAACACAAGATAGTGACTGTTTTATGTCTTCTCAGAGACAGATTTGACCTCAGAATCTGGTTTGCTTCCACGCAAGCGAGCAAGGAAAGCTGCTCTGAGGACGCGATGTATCAAACTCACCAAACAGCTCATGGACAGCTTACATGACATTGAGGATCAGCACGCTCTTGAAGAACTTTCTAAGGTTTTGGGCACTTTGCTGCAAGACCTGGTGCCTCCGAGCAGCACCGTGGACAGAAAGCCTTTTCATCTCAAAGCAAAGACACTTGGTGTTTCCTCTCCGTTGTCACAGAGGTGTGCTGGGAGACAAAACCACAAGCAGACTGGAAACTCTGACAGAAAGCAGGCAGGAGCCCCTCTCCTAAACTTCAGCAGTTTATGAGTCATTACGCTGACGTTTGCATTTCCTGCCTTTCATTTTGATACTTTTTGTGTTTGTTTCTTTTAACTTTCTCTTCTTGTGTTGTCTGCATATTTAATAAGTTATTTTTATGCAATATTTTTGTTACATCATAACTAACAGCCTGCATTTACCTGATCAGAATCTGCAAGTTTACTTAATCTTTTCCAACCATTTGACATTTTTAGTTAAAGCTCTGAAAATATCTGTCTGCAGGTCTTTTAGGTATTTTAGTCCAAAATTAGATGACTTGTTCTTTTTATCTATTTTCATTACAATTAATTTCTGATGGGAAAAGGTTTAGATTTTCATTACTTTTTATGTACTTATATTAGATTTAAGAGCTTAAGTCAAGTTATCTTTTGGTTTAAAACGAATAAACCAAAAGATATTTCATTCTCTTGAATTTAACTTTTATAGGAATAAGTCTGAAAACTTGGTTATGTAGAAATTACGACATGCAGCAATTATTTTGTAAATTATGTCGATTTTGTGCAAACAAAATTACAGTTTTGCATGTTCAAAGAACTTTTACAAGTTTTTTATTAAATGTTAAAGTTTCAAACAAATATAGATGCAAATTAAAATTAAAACACAAATGTTGAGTTTGTATATTTGAAAGAATAATTTATTCTAAGGGCAGTGTTTTTGATTTCAGAAGACTATTGGCTCACTTGTCAAGTCCTTCATATTGTTCTTTCCTATATTTAGGTGCATGGTGGCCCTACAGTAAAAAAAAAAAACATGTTGGATTTGAAAAGACTACAGAAAGTCCTGAAAGTTGTCCTCTGACAAATAAATTACGTCATATAATCAATGTATTTATTTTTATTTATTGTTTTGTTTACAACTGAATCAGCAAAACTGAACATTTTTAGACACTCCTTTCATTTATTGCACCTAAACAGGATTATATGACCCCCTCCCAATTTATTTTCATTTTTGTAGGTTTAAGCACTAAAATTACAAGTTTTCTGTAATTTTAAAGTAATTTTTAACATTCAAACACATAAATTTGAGCATGAACCAAATAATCCCCATAAAATTACCTGCAGTTTAAATTATGTATTTCATGTGCAGTGAAGTGCACCACAAGGAGCACGTTAACAATGAGGTTTGCCTCCATCCTGGTGAAGTTTGACTTTCTGCTTTAAGTATTATCTGTATATTAGATACAAATTCTCTGGGTAAAAATAGTTTGCTAAATCTACAGTATTGTATTCTAATCGTGAAAGGTAAAAATAGTAACTTCAGATTCATTTAAATTCAGGTAAATCTGTAGAACTATTTTAGCCACAAGGTGGCGCCATATCTTAGATTTCTGAGCAGTATTAGGTGAAAATCTCGAGGATTTAAAAATGAAAACGAAATTGTTTAAATACTCATCTAAATTAGTCATTAAATTTTAAACTATAATGAGGTTTATAAACTAAGATAAAACATAAAATGTGTAACATTATGCTGAAATGAAAAACCTGTAGAGAGAGTCGGTGTCAGAAGTTTAACTAAATTAAATGCTGTATTATCCTGATGCATGCTCAATAATCCAGGTAGATAAATCTTGCACGGTTGAGTTAGATCCTCTGGACGGATTCTTCTTTGTTGAAACATTTGGTCATTTATCTAAAAGACTTCTTCAGTCTGAGGAGCTGCAACAAACACAGTCTTATAAGCAGCACGTTCTCATTAGTGAAGTCTTCATCCCTGAAAGAGTGACCGCTGCTGGCCAGCAGTCACTCTTCTCTTGTTAAAGAGTGACCGCTCTCATCAGGATGCCCTGGAGCAACGTGGATATCCTAACTGGGCCTTCCTGAAAGCAGGAAACCCAAACAGGACTCCAACCAGCCATCAGGTGAAAAAGAGGGCCCTAAACCCAGACCAGTGGTCATTCCGTATGTTGCAGGAGTTTCAAAGAAATTGTGACGTTTATTTTCTAAACATGATGTCCCAGTGGCTTTTAAACCCCAAAAATACATTACTGGAAAGGCTGGTCCATCCCAAAGATCCAGTCCCCCTGGCACAAACAGAGTAATATGCTGTTCAGTGCCAGCAGGGCTGTGACCAGTCTTACATCAGGGAAAGTAAACAGACACTGGCCAAAAGGCAGCACAGAAAATCAACATCATCAATTCTATTCAGTTTATTTATATAGCACCAAGTCACAAGTCATCTCAGGGCGCTGAACATCAGGCCAGGACGCTGCGGTCGACACTCATCAGAAGGCCAGCGGACACGCTTTCAGGGATGATCATGAACTTTGATTGTGGCAAACTAACAGATACTTTTTTCTAACAAAATATTAGTGGGATAACCTCTTTATCTTTATTCTCATCTGAATATGCTCAATGGGCAGAAAAGACTGAAAATATGTGACAGTGTCACAGTGACACTGTCACTGCAAACTCAGCATGTTTACAGAGAGCTGGATAATCCCAGAATTATCCAGTTTTTAACCCAAACAGATCAGGCGCCAACATTTAGGCTTTCTTTTTCAGCTAGATTAGCAAAGATTTACGGTTTAGCATAAACTGAACGGCTCCAGTTGGCTTTCAGACAAAACTTATGTAATATTGTTTCAAAAAATGCTTAGCGCAGAACATGAAGAAGCCAGATCCGAGTGCGTACAGGCGCAATTTCCCATGAGTCCTCCTGACCTCCAGGGGGCGATATATAATGTCAGTAAGTGAGATATCGCGTGTAATGTTTTGAGCATGCGCAGTTGTTCTTCGAAATAAACAACAAACTTGGTTAATTATTTGCTCGTTTATGGTGTTGTTTCGGGCTTTTCAGCGCAGGTGAAAAGTTACAGCAACGACACTTGACATTGTGACTTATATCAGCGTGAGTTGACTAAATTTAAAAGAGGAAGAAGAAGTGTATTAAACGGTGCGGTGTCATATGACGGGAAAGATCTAATCTGGAAGCGTACACAGACCTTATTAGGGTTCAAGGTAATGTCACAGAAACTTTATTTCATTGTTAAAATACTGTGTAAACGTTTTGAACCACACATTTATTTCTTTATATTTTGTTTATGTGAAGCTAAACTTTATAGTAATATATTTTTTTTTAAAGTGAGTTGAATCACAAGGTTTTCAGTGTTTTTGAGGATGTTTGAACATTTTTTATGAGCTGAATCAAGTACAATAATGTAGATATTGCTTTTTCCTCAAAAAAATCAATATAAAATACATCAGACACCATTACCACAGGGAATTTAGTCAATATTTTCCCCAGTTCTGGGAGAGTCTTCAGCTATAGCCATGTTTAAAATAATATTTCTGTGATACCTGTCTAGTAAAAGACATTGTGTAATCGATTCAGGTAATAAAAATGGAGTGTGGTGCAGAAGGGAGCACAGAAGGAGGTCAATCTGAGTTGGTTCCTCGTGCTCAGCAGGTGTGCCGCTTCTTCTTTCAAGGACGACGTTGCCATTATGGCAGTAAGTGTAAATTTTTACACTTAAAAGACGAGAGCAAAGCTGATGGGACGCCCAGCCAGTCAGATGCTGCACCTTTAAACTCTCGGGGTCTTCATGAGGGGAACAGGCTCTCATTTTCCCATAATCCAAAGGTTGCTCCTGCAGCCGGCCGCCGCCCCTGTCGCTACTTTCTTTCAGGATACTGCACGATGGAGGACCAATGTCGCTTCTGGCACCCACCACAGTTACTTGTTGTGGATGCTGTGCCTGTTCCTGGCAATTTCTCCAAAGCTGCACCTAGCTGTCCCCCAATGTCACGTCCCAGCAGCCTTCAGGAGGTGAAGCTTTGTGACGTGACTGAGGATATAGCCAAGCAGATGAGAGACACTGAGGTCAAACAGATGAAGAAACGATTCCCCAAAGATCAGCTGATCGTTCAGGAGAGAAGTGACGGCAAAGTGACGTATTACAGGGCAACTGTGGAGGCCACGGATCCAGACTGGGTGAACACTCTCCTCCTTTTATTTCTTGTGTTAAATGAAAACTTGTTTATTGTAAGGGAAACTGGATGTACAAGTCATTATAAGGCTATTTTATCCTTTGAATCCTTTGTACTGATTTAAATGCCACACGAATGCTAACTGTAAGTAACACGTTCCTCTGTGATTTTTCTTTAAAATATGTAAATTTTGTATTTTAAAGCCTTTTGATCTGAATGAAATTGATATAATGGTGAGCTTCCCAGACGATTATCCTCTAGAGGTAAGGACCACTTTTTATCACTTGTAATTCTATTTCTTTCAGACCAGTATGAATTATTAATATAATAGTGTTGACATGGAAATAATGCACTTTTTATCACTTTCTCACGTCTTTCAGATTTTCACATTAGACATACCACTGGATCAAGATCTACCACCAGTTATGGCAAAGTAAAAATATGTTCTTTCATGTCACACTAACTAATTAGTATTCTTGACAAAAAGAAACCGTGTTTACAGAATTTTCTATAAACCTTTGGTCATGCAGGCACGTACAAGAAGCATCTATAGAGTGGCTTCAAGCTAAACATGCTACTAATCAGTTGCTGGGGAAAGTTGAGCTACTTTTCCGGCCTTTTCTTCGCTGGCTGGATCGGAGCTTGGAGCGACTGTTCACCGAAGGAGCCAGACGGGTAAGACTGAAATGTGAATGTTTGTGTTCTCATTCTTCTTCTTTTGACTTTTCTCTTTTCAGGGGTCACCACAGCGAGTCATCCTCCTCCATCTCACTCTGTCCTCTGCATCCTCTGTCCTCAAAGATGTTAACAGCTCAAACAGAAAAGACCAACTTTGATTCTTGTTTGAGGTCAAAGCTACAAGCCAGTTGTGGTTATCCCATTCCTATCTCAGTTACTGAAATAGTGGGTTGCAAAGAGTTTCTTTGATAGTCTTTTTTGATTCAAAGCAGCTGCACTTTGCTCAGCTCTGATCTATTTACAGATTTTGACCCAGTAAATTGTGACATCTAAAATGTTATTGGTTTGAATCATACCTAAGTGTTTTTTAGAGTGTCCTAGCAGTACCACTGAGTGCAAGAAGGTTCATTTTTATGACTTCTTTTTGCAATGTGCACCACCTCCCTGACTCAGTTCATTCAACCTTTATTTATACAGGTAAATCCCATTGAGCCTCGAGGACTCATTTACAAAAGAGACCTGATTTCAACAAAGAATGACGACAACAAACAATTATAAAAAGTCATACAGATTTTATTTTATTTTTTTAAACAAATAGGATGGCTAAAAAAAAAGAAAAGTAACAAAAAACAGCTAGATTATAAGGCAAATGTAGAAAACTAAAAACAGGAACATGTCTGCATTGGTCCCTGCTAGGAGTCCCAACAGATTCTTAAAGCCACTTAGAGAGGTCAAGGTCGAGAGCTTCAAATCTTTTCGTAAGATATTCCAGGAAACAGGAGCGGAGTAGGAGAAGGCCCTTTTGCCTAGTTCAGTCTGTACTGAGGGAACACTGCAGGTAATAATGTCCTGAGAGTGCACACTGTAGCTGCACTCACAATGACATATAGGAGATGTATGAAGGCAACAGACCAAGAAGTGATTTAAAGATGAAAATGTACCAGTGAGAGAGTCTGCGTGAAGTTAATGATGTCCAGTTAACCAGTGAATACAGGGTGCAGTGGTGGGTACAGTAGTTACAGCCAGTTATGAATCTTAGTGCACCATGATAGACAGCATCCAACATCTGCAGGGTTCTTGTAGGAGCGTTCATGTAAATAATGTCACCATAATCAATGGAGGGAAGGAAAGTCACAGATACAAGGCGTTTCCTACCATTCAGAGTTAGACAGGATTTGTTTCTGAAAAAGAAACCAAGTTTAACTTTCAGTTTCTTTACCAAGTTTTCCGCATGAAGCTTAAAAGAGAGATGCGAGTCGACCAAGATACCCAAATATTTATAGGAATCAACAAACTCAATGGGGACACCATTTGAGGATGAAGTCAGAGGAAGAACTGCTGGGACTGACTTCCTATTTGAAAAAAGCATCCCTTTGGTTTTGTCGGCATTTAGGACAAGTTTGAGGTGGAACAAATCTGACTGGATGATGTTGAATGCAGATTTCAAAAGCTGGAAAGCCTTATCAACTGTTTTAGCTCAACAATAAACAACTGTGTCATCAGCATAGAAATGTAAGGATGCATCAGGGATGTTTTTACCTACATTATGTATGTAGATTGTAAAAAGGGTGGGTCCTAAGACTGAGCCTTGTGGTACACCATTGTTGACTGTTAAGTAACTGGAGGAAGTATCATTATGTTGAACACATTGCCTCCGATCTGAGAGATAGAGAACCAACCAATGGTGTGTTCTGAGAAACCGATTTCTGAGAGTTTACGACACAAGATGTTATGATCCACTGTGTCATAAGCAGTAATCCACCTACATAACCACTTGTATAACAATTCCAAAGATTATATGAAACTACCCACCATTTTCTCCAGATGGTCATTGCTCTTAATATCAATCTTAGTTTCAGTGTCTTACATTTCCACCTGACTGAAGAGGCACCACTCAGCTATGCTGCTCTAAGACAGATCTGTACATTTTAATATAGATAACCAGGTTATTTAAAACTGTTAAAATAAATAGTTTATTTTCTCTATACTTTAAAGTGCCTTGGATAAAGTATATACTGCATGTAAATAACTCATTTTCTAAATCTGTTTTCCCTCCTTCAGTTAAAAAAAGACGTTGACTTAGAAAAAGCTGGACTGCAGTTCATCCCGTACCAAGAGCTCAAGGGGTCAGCAAGTGAAAACTCTGATCCGGCCTCCAGCAATGTAGACGTAGATCAGAACGTCTGCAGCACAGATGATGTTCTGGATGATGGGCAGGGGAAGGAGGATGTTTCAGGGCAACAGGGGAGTCCAGGTTATGATGAAGGTCAGGAGGAGGAGGTGAGTCAGCTGGTGGAGAACATCAAGATCAGTGATCCTCGCAGAGGCACAGAGGTGAAGCTGCTGGGGCTGGAACTGGGAGAAAACACGGCCACTGTGGTCGCGCATCAGATCACCGTTTGTCTGCAGTGTAACAGGTAACAAACTTGAACCTCTTTTCCCCCCCATCTTAACCTTTCATGGAAACCTGGCTCATTGGTGCTGTGTGCAGGTGTAAGGTGACTGCAGATCTGATGCTCACTGGAAGGACGCCTTGCAAAGCTCAGTGTGAAAGATGTAATGCAGACATCAGCGCTGCCTTCAGGCCTTGCATGCTGCACCATTACTGTGACGTTCTGGGATATTTGGACCTCCACAACGCTACGCCCGCCGACCTCGTGCTTCAGGACTGTGACCTGACTGTGGGCTGCCTCAGCTGCTCTCAGGAGGTCCCTATACAGGTAATGAACATTGTGAAAGGCTGTCAGAGAAGAGTAGAAAGTGTTTGAATATGATCTGTGAAGTAACGTTTGTTTTTCTTCAGCATGTTCTCTACGGACAAACTAAAGAGTTTAACTGTGAACACTGCCACGGGAAACTCAGCATCCTGGCCGAGAGCACAAGATTTCAGTTCATTCAGCCTCGCTCCTCCAACAAATTAGGTCAGAGCACACTTCATGTTTGTTTCTAAAGGGATCAGAAAAGACTTAAGATCTTACAACAAAGCAGTTGTCCTAGTTGGCTTTACAGCCAAACTTGCATAACATTATTCAGAAAGCTGCTCAGTGTCTTACAAAGTTGAAGCGTATTTATTTGGGACTTTCTTTCACTGTATCTAACCGGAACAGGGAGGTAAATGTAACCTGATTCCCCTTCTTCTTCTTCGTGCAGGTTCAAGTGCTGCCAATTACAAAGAAATAAGAGATCCAGCTGTTCAAAAGGGAAAGCCACTGCCAGACAAAGGAACGTGCAAACATTACAAACAGAGCCACCGATGGCTGAGGTATCATCCTCGTTGACATTTCTCATTTCAAACAGTTCATTTTTTTTAAACTTTAATAACAACTTTACTGTAAAACGCCTAGGTTTCCCTGCTGTGGGCGGGCTTATGCCTGTGATGTTTGCCACGACGAGAACCAGGACCACCCCATGGAGCTCGCCAACAGAATGATTTGTGGATTTTGTGCCAAAGAACAGGTGGAGTAAAAAGTTGACATGAAAGTTCATTTAATACTGAAAATCACCTCCAACACAAGAGGAATGGTCAATAAAGGACAGAAATGCTGGCAGCATAAATGCACCAGCACACGTCGAAACTTCTTTGTGTTTACTGTTGCAGCCTTATAACAATGGAAAGCCTTGCATGAGCTGTGGGAGCATGATGACGAGAGGCACTCGCACCAGCCACTGGGAGGGAGGACTGGGATGTCGAAACAAGGCCAAAATGAGCAGGTACATGTATCACATGACAGCAGTGTTCACATTTTATTATGTCAGCATTACTAATGGTGGGAAAGATCAATCTAAAACAACATTTGACACTCATTTTTCCCCCCGCTCTGTTTTTAGAAATGATCGACAAAAATATGCCAACTCCAACAAAACGGTTTCCAGGAAGGCAGCCAGCGAGAAGAGCTAAATGCCGATGAGTTGTACGTGTTGTAAAAACACAACATCATTTAAAAATGATGATTTTAAATACAATAATCTCTTTTCACAATAAATCTCTCTTTGATCACTCATTGTGAAATTTCATAATAATTTGATTTAATGTTTAGTTTCCTGTGAAACGTTTTCCTGGAAAAACACGTTAATTTCAGTCGGTGATAACTCAAAAATGCTGTAAGACGTTACTTTACACTTTGCAAATAAAAAGATACTTTAAAATAACTCTGAAATACTGAGATTATTGAACTTGTAACAATAAACAAGATGGCAATAAAAACACTAAATGGTAGTTTATATATGCATGTATTTATTTATTTATTCTCCTTTGGATAATCCTTTGGAACATTCATGACAATTTTATTGACCCACAATATTCTTAGATTTGGTCCCAAAATTAAATTGAACAGCTCATTTAAATTAATAAGTGCATCTTATTCTAGAATTGCGCCGCTCGGGGTGGCTGCATGTTGGAGTAGCTCTTACGTTCATTCTGAGGTATTGCTTTTGGAAACTAATTCCTCTTTTTTGGGGGGGATGTAAATCACTTTTTTTGGATGATTGTTTTCTTTGGTATCTGATGCTGTGCAGCTGGAAGGATTTTTACTGAAACTTTTTTACTTTTGGACATTTGTTATGATGCGTAACCATGACAAGTTTTTTTTTTTTTTTACAACCAGGAATAGTTGATTAACATCTCAAAAACTCATGTATCAACTACAGCCCCAAATCTCAAATAAGTTGAAAAGGAGGTGCTGTAGATGCATTCCCATCTACCTGCCAGCTGTGCTCGAGTGCCTGACCGCTGAGATCCTGGAACTAGCAGGAAACACCGTTTGTGACAACAGGACTGGGATTATCCCCTGACACGTGCAGCCGGCTGTCCGCAACGACGAGCTCGGCAGGTTGCTGGGAGGAGTGACCATCGCTCGGGGAGGAGTTCTGCCCAGCATCCAGGTTGTCCTGCAGCCTGGGGGAACCGAGAAGCCAGCCAAGTCTGGGTGGACGGATCAGCCAGTCTCTTCGGATCTGCTGTGGAACGGACCTTTACAAGAGATCCTTCCTGCCTACAGCCATCATCATCTATAACATCTCTTAATGAAACAAGGATAACGAGTTACGATATTTTATTTCCCTTTGGGATTAATGTCTTTTTGAATTGAATTGTATAACTTGTATTATTCAATGGTGAAACTCTGGGTACCTTCTGTTTAAAGAAAAGAGCACACAGGTCTGATCTTATTTGAGTATCATGATTTAGAGCTCAGTATAGCTCTAGCATTGTCAGCTGGGTCTCGAGTGACATTTTTGATTAACATTTAGAAATGTAAGGAAAGTTAAATGGAGGTGCGAGTACATCAAGGATCAGCTCTGAGCCCCTTCTTGTTTGAACTGGTGATGGGCCGACTAACAGATTTGGTCAGGCAGTAATCCCCGTGGACTATGATGTTTGCAGGCGATATTTTAATTTGTGGTGAGAACGGAACAGATGGAAGAGAACTTGGAGAGATGGAGATATGCACTTGAAAAGAGGAATAAAAGTCAGTCGTAGTAAGACAGAGTATGTGTGTGAATGAGAGGGAGGCCGGTGGAACAGTGAGGCTACAAGGAGCAGAGGTCACAAAGGTGCTGGACTTCAAGTACTTGGGTCCACTGTCCAGGAAAATGGGGAGTGTAGTAAAGAGATGAAAAAGAGTTCAGGCAGGATGGGGAAAGTTTCATGAGTGATTTGTTGCAAAAAAAGGTAAAAGAAAAGGTTTACAAGAAGATAGTGAAACCAGCTACCAGTACACAGGGTCTGGAAACAGTGGCACTGACAGAAAGACAGGAGAAAGAAGTTGAAGTTCAAGAATCAATTTGTTTCTCAGTCAAGTATTCACACAAAAACATCCACACAAGACTGAGACGTTAAAAACAGTACAGAAGTCATCAGTGTTCATTAAGAAACCTGGTCGCTACAGGGAGGAATGAGTCTTTCAGTCTGAACTGGAAGTCCTGAAGAGGTTCTCCTTGGCGGTGACGAGGATGAAGTCCAAAGAGAAGATATATGGATGCAGTTGGAGAGGACATGGAGGTAGCTGGAGTGAGGACAGAGGATGCAGAGGACAGAGTGAGATGGAGGAGGATGACTCGCTGTGGAGACACTGAAGAGGGAAAAGCTGAAAGAACGTAAAGGAAAGTTTTATAGGGAAGTTTTGTTCAGCGTTCTTTTGTGCAGCACACCAGGTATTTATTTCTTGTCAAACCTTCATTGTGAGCCAGATAGTTGCTACTTTTTTATTTTATTTTTATAAAACAAACAAAAAAGCAAACGGTTTGTTTACTGACTTTCAACTAGTCATTGAAATATTGTCTCCTGGTATGTAACACTGAAGCAAGGAGTTCTCAGATTCTTGTTTTTGTTAACTGGTTCCATAATGAAAATGGGACATGACCTTGTGTCCAAGCAGACGAGTCTCTGTGCCAAAGTGGAATCAGCTCCTGGGTCTTGAACCTGCGGCTCTGGAGCCACAAGTGGCTCTTTGGTCCATCTACAGCGGCTCTTTCAAGCTTTGAGCAAAACTAACACAAAAGTGAATTTTATTGGTTGTTATACTAAAATAAAAAAAAGGTTGTTTAAACAGTCTTCCTGTCATTTTTCATTTCAGATATATGAATAGTAGAGCAATACAAAGAGTAAAGCATGCTCACTTCATGCTTTATCTTTTAAACGTAGGCTACTTAATGTTTCAACAATAAAAAATAAAATCATAGGCCTGCACAGTTCATTGTTTAAAAATTAACAAAATTGTTAAAATCTGTTTTTCCTTTTCTTTCTTTACAACAATCTGGTCTTTTGTCTTAAAATGTACAAATATCAACTGTTAAAAAAACATTTGATACGTTTGGTTTAAAGAAGTTACTCCAGAAAAGCTCTCTTCAATAAACTTAGTGGTCCACGGGCCACCAGTTGATGATCACAGTTGTACCAGATTGTTGTGGCTCCAAACACTTAATTTAGTGAAGAAGGGGCATGAATGGCTCTTTTGATCGAACAGGTTGCGGACCCCCGTCATAGAATAATGACGCCAAAGTCCTCTACGTGAGAGAGATGGTGGTAGCAAGCAATACATTTCAGGAACTCGTCGACATGAACCCAGAGTTCAAGCTGTTCTTTGTGGAGGAATGTGCTAAACTCCAGCAACCTGAGGTGGAGGAGAACAGTTATCAGAACAATTTGTAATAATAATAAATAATAGTAATAAATAAAAATCTAGATTTGTGTCAGATTTTTATAATCCAACAAACGATTCTTTCAATAAAACTCTGTCAGGAAATGATTCTGATTTAAATGTTTTTTTAAATCATAAATATGTTAATCAGTATAAAATCTGTTTTTAATGCAGCACATAGAAACATTTCGTGTGAAACCGCCTCACGTCAAACATATTATTTTGTGTCTGGTGCATGCACTGAGTGGTTTTGTTAATCTTGAGTACAGTAGGTTTGTTTTCGTACACGGTGAATTGCTGTTTGGAGCAAAGCTGATTTTTTTTTTTTTGACTGAGAGCAAAGTCCCTTCAGAACTCCACTGTATAAAACTGGACTTGGTCTTGGTCAGAGGTGACTCTGCACCAAGATGCTGAACATCAGTGAGACCCTGCCGTCCCCACCCTTCAGGTCTGCGGACCCTCTCCTGCAGCCACTGTGGGACCACTTGTGTCTTCATCACCGGTCTCTCGTCTCCTCGCCCTTTTTCGTCGTCGTACTCGCCTTTTCCAGCTACTTTTTCTTCAGTTTGCCTTTTGCTGTTTTGGACCTTCTGGGAGATAGGGTCCCTTTCTTCCACAAGTACAAGATCCAACCAGACAGGCAGCCGACACTGGGGATGATGGTTAAGAGCTTCATGACGGCGTTATTTAACCACATGTTCTTCGTTCTGCCAGCTGTAGTCGTTGGAACGCTGTTTTTGCCGGCACCAACGCTTCCAAAGCAGGCCCCTCATTTGTACGAGTTACTCACTGAATCACTGGCTTCTCTCCTCCTGTTCGACACTCAGTACTTTATCTGGCACTACATGCACCATAAGAACACGCAGCTTTACCGCTGGGTTCACGCAGTCCACCATGAATTTATGGCTCCATTCTCCTGGTCTACGGAGCAGCTCAGCATCCCGGAGCTGATGACCGTGGGCTTCTGGAGCAACATGGACCCGCTCCTTTTACAGTGCCATCCGATGAGCATATGGTTCATGACGGTTTTCAGTCTGTGGATGTCTGTGGAGGACCACATAGGCTATGACCTGCCATGGGCCCTGAACCGCCTGGTGCCCTTCGGCCTCCTGGGGGGTGCACCGGCTCACGACATGCACCATCAGAAGCCGAGCAGCAACTACGCCCCTTTCTTCAGCCACTGGGATCGAATCTTTGGCACAGCTGTCACTTTGAAGACAAAAACTAGAAAATAAACGGACTAAAATAAAATCTGTAAATATGGTCTGTCTTTTTAATCAGATCTTTTTTAAGCAGTTACATTTTTTACTGTAAACGATTGTCTCGTTAAGTTTTTTGCACTTGCTGCTTTCTTGCGTTTTTTTTCTCAGGCATTGTTTTGGTGGATTGATGTCACATTCGAAATGCTCTTCATTGTATTCATTAAATACATATTTTAAATACCAGTGAGTGTAGCATTATTCGTTTCAAGTTGTTACTGGTGCAGTTACACTTCAATCAACATCCTGCAGGGAAGCAATTATACCGGTTACTGTAAACTCAGCAAAATAATCCAGCTTCTCAATCCTCTTGCCAAAAACAAAGGCTTTAGAAGTGCTGCACCATTATGCCAACTCTAAAGATTTAACTCCAATTACATCACAAAACTGAGCAAAAATCAATTCTAGCTTTTTGTCATTGAACTTACAAAGACCTTTTTGAATTTCTATTGGGACTAATAAAGTATCCACCAGTCTATAAAAACATATTTGCAAAAAGCGTGCCATAAAGAAACACTAAATAATATTATCCAAGTGATTTTGTGACGCAACAATTATTTTATGGAAGTCTGCTGATGAAGCAAGAGGTAGATGTTTGCATCACTACCGCCTCAGACTCTAAAAACATCAGTCCATGCAGAACTGAGATTTCTGAAAGAAACAACCAAAGACTGTTCAATTTTTTTAAAGTGGGGTTCTAAAGATTTGTAATAAAGTCATTATCTTACCTGCAGTAGAAGTTTAAACAAAATCCATTAAATGGAACAGAGATTCTTATGGGGGCAGCAGGGACAAGGCCAAAATGAATTTTAGAATGAATTTTCTTAGACTCATGAATCTCTAACTAGAATAATCACTGTGAAAAACCATATCATGTTGCTGCTGATCTGTTTCAATGTTGATGTGTTCATGCGTGCACATCTGCTCACAGACTCATGTTCATGTTTGTGGTGATGTTCAATGTTTTATGTTATGAGTGCTTAGTGTATATTTAGTTGATGTTTTTCTTAGTTCATATCTTAGATGTTATTACTGTTTTTCTTATACATTTTATTGTTGGATGTAACTGGGACCCTGTGTACATAATTTCGCTCCACCACATGTACCACATGAGGTGCGAATGACAATAAAGAAACTCTGACTCTGACTCTGACTCTCTGAGAAGCAATTTGTTTCAATTTTCAATTATTCTGGCTAAACTGTTTTTTTTTTTTGTTTGTTTGTTTACAAATATACACCAGAAGTGCCACAGGTAGCTGCTGCCGTTTGCTCCTGACCGCAGAATTCAACATTAGTTTCCTTCTTATCCAGATCGAGGCTGTTCAAAGAGTTCTCTACAACAGGTAAGATACCAAATTATTCACAACTTTCCACAGAACCCCAATCAAAAGATCCGAACTCTCTTTAAATCGCAGCTAGAGGCAGATTGAGCCCGCTTCTGCTGGAAGCTTCTTTTTCCATGATCAAGTTTCACTAAAACGGGGAATTGATCTTATTTACGCGAAGCTTCAAAGTTTTCCCACTGGTAACGATATCCGTCTGCTAATTAATAAAGTAACTTGTGTGTGACACTTTGCAAATCTACGAACAACAATGAACAGTCCCGTATTTTAAATGAATTTAAATATATTTATTGGACAAAACAAACTATAAAATCTGAACAGTTGTTTGAAAACTCAATGAAGACTCTTATTTAGATACTGAACAAACATGTTGGCGATTTGTCCCGTGTTTTCTGTCGGGTGCATCTTGCTGTAGCTGATGAACTGGCGCCGGAGTTTCCGCAGCTCCGCCATGTTGATGCTCCTGCTGAGCTCCACGTTTAACTTCGAGTTAAGGACGATAAGCTGTTAAGCCGGGATATTTAGAAGATCACAGCCTTTCATTTAAAGCGCACGACAGAACGCGATGATTTAAATTATGCACGTCATTGAAGGCGACGTGCTTTAAAGGCAGCTCTGCTCAAACGTGTTCAAAGGAGAAATAAAATAAAATCAAAGAGTGCGTTTAAGGTGAGTCACAGCCAACACACCATTTCATCCCAGCTGAGACCTTTACTGTTGCTGTCCTTTAATACAGATCTCTTTTACGACTTCCTGGAAGACTTTGAAGTCGAGGCCTTTGCCTCCCAACTGTGAGCGAACGTGACTTTCTTTAGCAGAAGAGGAAAAATTAATTCACTGATCAGTCACCTGGAATTGTAACGTCACAGTAAAACTGGAACGCTCAGTTCACATTAAAGCTTTGATTAATAACTGTGGTCATTTAATGACGCTGATAAAAGGATATCTTCTCTGTAGCTCCTGGAACTGAGATGAGATCCCCGGGAACACTGGTCTTCTGAGCGTTAAAAATTGCCTGAAAGACATTTTACAATATTTATTATGACATGCATCTGAAAGGGGAGGTGACAAATACAGCATGTCTAAAAATTGGTTACCAGTCAGAGGTTGACATATTACTTGTATACAAATATATAATGCACTTTATGTAACGAATGTCCAAGCTACTGAGTGGCATTTTTCTACACCTACAGATTACCCAAGCCACCACCCCCACCCTGTACCACATATTTGAGAGCTTTTTCCTGCATACAGGCCCCTTCTTAAAGGTTTTCAAGTTAAGAGTATTCTGTGTACATGACCTTAGTAAAAGTACACAGTATAGTGTTCTCTTATGAAGCGTAGTAATAAGACTTGAACCTTCAAGCACCATCAAGACCAACATCATTCTGAAGGAAGAGATGGTTTTAACAACTTTTCTGTAGTTTACTTTTGTAATTTCGTTGTTTTCAACTGAGGGTCGTCAGATATGTTTTAAATAATTATAGCCACAGAAGTTATTTGCAGAGTATAATTTTTTTTGACCAGACTGACAGATTTCTCCCCTAAAATGATTAATCCGTTCATTTTATTGACAGGGTTTTAGCTCATGTAGTCATTTAAAATAATTTTTCATATTTGATCATTTATTAAATTGCATTTATCACAGTACAGTTACCTCTCAGTATGATTTGAAAAGTAAATAAGTTTAGCTCATCCAAACAGCCACACCGCCTCGCGTGTAGAAATTAACTTTGCAGACATGAATAGGCTGAGCGCTCCCACAACGCTCTCTCTGACTGAGTTTAGTCTCACGTGCGCAGGTTGCACATCTGTACGATGATGACGACGCTATGAACACATTGACGCAAATTCAGACCTTAGATACAAAAGTGGTGGGGAGGTCAGGGGTGCGGTGCAGGAGAGGGTGGGGTGACGGTGTAAGTTTTGGTATCTCCCCCAGCTGCAGTGAAGTGGTCACGTGCAAACACGTCCACAGACATCTAATCATTTATTCTGTTAGGGTAGTGGGGTGTCCTCTTTGGACAATAGTCCAGGAAACACAGTCTGTCTCTGAGTTAGTAACACTGAGATCACCCACCGTGAAGCACAGCCTGACCCGCCCTGCTCTGGTTTACAAAAAATCCACAACAAAACACTTTTTTTTCCTCCCCCCATTTTTCATTTCTACAGATGACGGAAATCCACTGCAGAGATCGAGAACTTTAATCCATGTCCATTTCCTCAGGGTGAAATCTGGTTGTTCGAGATGAAAATAGTTTGTCTCGACAAACAGAAGCCGCTTATATAGATCCCTGGAAGAGTTAAAGCAACTGATAAACGACTAACGGGCAGAAACTGTTAGACAATAAATTTATTCTAGAACAACAAATCAAAGGGCAGGTGATTTTTCTACTGGTTCACAGCAATAAAAAACTTTGTTGAAGTAATGTTTGTAAGCCCATTGACTATGTGATGATCTTTGCTTTACTGCTTATGTCACGACTTTTACAGGAGTCAGAGCCTCACAGTCACGCTGGGTTTTCAACTTGAACTGTTATAAATTTAAAGTATTAATTTTAAACTTGCTTGACGAGATATTTATGCCTGCAATACAATACAAAGTGAATCACCGGTGCAAATATTTTCTAAAGCATGCCCCCCCCCCCCCCCACACACACACACACACACACACACACAAGCCTCGAGTCTTAAACTCTGCTGCAGTTTTTGCAGTCAGACTCAACACGCAGCAGAAAGTCAGACTGAGAAACGAACAGACTTAAAACACGAAGAATCACCGTTAACACGTCTTGAGTGACTTTGTCCAACTCGTACAAGAAGTTTGCAGAAGACAGGGGTTGCTGTGGAGGACAACATGACAAATGAACCTTCACTCGTCTAGACTCAAAAGTTTGACTCTGCTGTTATTTTTCTGCAGCTTTGTGTAGTTTACTGGTAATAAACAATGAGAGAACTTTCTTACGCTCTGAGTAGACTGGTTCTTTGGGGGAGCTCTTCTTTTGAAAAGTGCATCAGAAATTGCCTCAAGCGGAAGCGGGTCATCCTTCAGGACGGTGAAGAGAGGACTGTCCCATCGGTTCCTGGAGTCCGGTGCTTCAAACCTCTGGACCAATGCGTCAAAGCTTCAAAACAAAGCAAGCAAACACAAAAGTAAGTTTCCTTTGATGCTGATAAATATAACGGTGGTGGTTCTGAGTCGTTTCCCCCTCACATGTCCTGGCTGTACTGCTCCGCAGCATCTCTGTTTTTGTTCCATAACGAGCTCTCTTCATCCGAGGTCAAACAGTGCACCTTCATCAAAACACAGCATTTTCAAATTAGGCAGCTGCATTTTTCATTTAAATTCAAATGAGATTTTCTCCAGACTAACCAGACAGTGCGGCGTCTGTGCGTGCTTGATGAGACAGAAGAGTTCATAGCGGTACCCTGTGGGACATTTTAAAGGTAAAGTGCTTAATTTAAAAAAAATTAAATAAAGAATCAGCAAACTTTGCTTCCAGATTTACCTTTAATGTAGTTTAATGAGTCCAGGATAACAATATTGTCCTTGTTGACCTTCCTGTGGGAGGGGAAATAATCAGTACAAATGAGTGTAACATTAAATTGTAGAAATGCAGATGTGTTAAAAAAACAAAAAAACAACCCACCTCTCTACATCAGCTTTTAAAGAAGATCTGACATTTTTTTCCTTTTGAGAATCTGTAATTTAACAGGCAGATTCAAGGTTTCCATAGAGAAAGTTTCCAAGTAGCCGTCAAGGGAAATTAATAAGCTTCATTACATTTACACCAATATCCTGGATAAGAGTTATAATCTGTGTTGCATGATCTCAAGCAGAATCACAAGACGTCACGCTCAGAGTACAGCTGTGCCTAAAAAATTAGAGTATTGAGAAAAAGTGCAATTTTTTGTCATTTCAGAAATTGAAGCTCATATTACACAGATTCATTACACAGAGTGAAACACGTCAAGCCATTGTTTCTTGTAATTTTGATGATTATGACTTGCAGATAAGAAAAAAAATATAAATAATTCAATGTCTCAGAATACTAGAATATTCCACAGCTTTTGGTACCTTTATGGGCAGTAGCCAAGTCCTGCTGGAAAACGAAATAGCATCTCCATGAAGCTCGTCAGTAGAAGGAAGCATGAAGTCTCTAAAATGTCCTGGTAGATGCTGCGTTGATGTGGACTTCAGAAAACACCGTGGACCAACACCAGCAGAGGACATGGATCCAAACCATCACCGACTGTGGAAACTTCACTCTGGACTTCAACAACGTGGATTCTGTTCCTCTCCACTCTTGGAAACATGCAAAATGTACTTTCTTCTGAAAAGAGGACATTAATGAGCAACAGTCCAGTTCTTCTTCTCCAAGTAAGACACTTCTGATGTTGTCTCTGGTTCAGGAGTGGCTCGACTTGAGTAATGAGACATTCGTAGCTCATGTCCAGGAGTTAATCAGCTGATTAGGGTGTGACAACATGGATTTACAATAATGAACCTGGAGACACTGCATTTAGTTTTTTCGTTATCTGTAAACCATAATCATCAAAATTACAAGAATCAAAAGCTTGAAATATTTCACTCTTTGTATAATGAATCTATGTAATAAATGTTTCACTTTCTGAAATGACTGACTTTTTTCTTTTTCACAATATTCTAACATTTTGAGATGCACCTGTAATTGTTGCAAAGGACCCTCACACCAAGTTTTAGCTCACCGTTTGTGAAACTGACTGAATTACTGCTTATTTTGTGTTTTCTATATTATATATATGTGGCAGTCATCTTGAATTAGCCTGGCTCTATATACTAATCATTTGTGGAGGAACCTCCCATTGTTATTTCCTTAAAGTTTAATTAAAACCAGTCTAGTGGTTTATGAGATATTTTGCTAACAGACAGCATTGACTCAGTAAATGGCTAACTAAACAATGACCTTGTGCAATCTGTAAGCGCTCAGATTATGTGTTGAGGATCAGGCTCAGCTACTACTACACAAAATGTTTGCTCGAGATCTGTGGCAGGCACCGATTTATGCACTTAAAGATCAGTTGTGGCGGCCATCTTGAATCGGTAGATGCACATCATGATCTTGTGATTTTTCCAGAGTTTTATTGAATACGCCCACCGGTTCATGGCTAACAGATCTAAAGCAAGTAGCTTAAAGCTAAAGAGTGACGCCAACACCGTTTTGGGAGATTTGCCGACAGTGGAAATCAAAGCGAACTTCAACAGCAACAACAAAAAATATGGATGAAAACAAACATTAAGCTAACCGAATTTAAGCTAGCTGAACTTGAGCTAGCTGAATTTAAGCTAGCTGAATGTAAGCTAGCCGAATTTAAGCTAACCGAATTTAAGCTAGCTGAACTTGAGCTAGCTGAATTTAAGCTAGCTGAATGTAAGCTAGCCGAATTTAAGCTAGCTGAATTTAAGCTAGATGAACTTGAGCTAGCTGAATGTAAACTAGCTGAACTTAAACTAGCTGAATTTAAACTAGCTGAATTTAAACTAGCTGAACTTAAACTAGCTGAATTTAAACTAGCTGAATTTAAACTAGCTGAACTTAAACTAGCTGAATTTAAACTAGCTGGACTTGCCTGAGTAAACACCGTTTCTATCAACGCCCAGGGCTTCGTCTCCAACAACATGAACCAGTCTTTCCATGTTTTTCTCAAAATGCGCCTTCAGCTCTTCTGCCCTCCGTGTTTTACCACTACACGGGTAGCCACACATTACTATTAGGGGCATTTTATGTTAGCAAAACTGAAAATGCCGCGGCGCGAGCGAGCAGCGCGTTCCTACTTTAACCCGGAATTAATACGCTGAACGACCACCAGGTGGCGCCAGAAACGCCCAAAAGAAAGCGCCCCACTACAGCTTTTTTGGACTTTTTATTTAATTCATTCAACCTTTATTTTATTAAAACAAAAGAGTGAACATGCAATCCATATCCAAATAAATATATTTTGTTTTTAGAAAATAAGTTTTCTTCATCATCTGATGTTCCTCAAACAGGATCTCCTCTCCCACTACAAGAACAGAAAACAAAGTGAGATATAATAATATTATTCATAACAATATCCAATAATAATAATAATAACAACAAACTAACATGTCTAATGTATTTTCCTTTGCATGTTTGTCTCTGTTCAACATCTGGACGAGCATCGCCTGCAGGTTTTCCTCTCCACGAACACTAACATCACCAACTTCAGAGGGAACTATTTTGTTTTCAAAGGCAGACTCCATCAAGGAGCTTTCCTCAGCGCTTTTCTTCCCCATGAAATGTCCTGTTTTAATAAAACAGACTTTCATGACACAAGGTCCTAAAGTTACAAGGTAAAAGAAGATAGTTTTTTCAATTCTAGTGATAAATTTCTTACCTGTTGCCCAAAGGTTCCCTCTGGGGTTCACCTTGAATTTGGAAATTTTATTTCTCAGTTGGGTTAAGTCAAGCATCATCGACGTTGTCACTGCGATGTACGAGATGAGGATGAAAGCAGACAGGATTCCACGGCTGCAGATCTTCATCATAGTGCTTCTTGAATTTGCAGCCTAATTAAAATCTCTGCAGCTCTCATATTAAAGGAGTGAAGCTCTTATATTGAAAGAGGATGAGCCAAATATTCTAATGAGCTGAAGTCATCTGTGCGCTCGCTGCTTATTGGATGCTTTGATGCCCATTCAGGACGTTTGTGATCTCACTACCAGTCTTCCCAACATTTCAGGACAGAAGACGGAGCAGGTATATAATTAAATGCACCAGTTTATTTGTAAATATGTAAACGTAACAGCAAGGCACATGGGCCACTGCATGCTGAACAGATGTAATGGTTCTAAGAAATGCTGTGAGTCCCAAGTTTTACTGGTTACCATATGTACACATAGAAGTATTTCTTGTACACTGTATAAAAGTACAAATATTTTTTGTTGTTTTTAGAGAATTACAAAAATGAACAGGTGATAAACAAGTAACTCGTTTCAGCTGCAGTGTGATGTATATGCATATTTGTAAAAAAAAAAAAGTACTTAGTTAAGTCAATATGACCATTAAGCTGTAATACCATTCCCAACACAATTTATAAAATTTAACAATTTGGGAGAATACAAATGTATGAACTCATTTCGTCTTTTACATTGCACTAATATGAACTGTAACTTAGTCTTCAGACATTTAACAATCACTGCCATTTACCACGGAGGTAGGAACCGTCAAAAAACTATAGAGGGGCCGTGTCACAATTCAGAACATCCACCTTTATCACCGCTGATTTTCAACAAGCTTCCCCCTTAAATCACCGCGTAATCAAAAGTTGAGTTACAAAACATTGTAAACACGCAAACAAAGTTTCCCCTCACGTTTTCTCATCACCCAAAACAGCGTACCCTGATCGGACACAACACTGACAACTGAACAAAATACACTTCTGGCAACTTGAGGTAATTTCAATCTTGCTGCTGCACACACTCAACACCTCGACGTTTCCTCCGTACACTCTGGATGTGGGGAAAATAGAAAAGTGGAAACAGAGCAAAAACAAAGAGCAGACCTAGGACCCATGCAATCACACAACGAACACGTTGGATTAACATAAAAACAAAAACGTTTTCCCGACACCTAAAAGAAGATTTTGTTCTTCACGTGGTCTTCAATTAAAAATAAACGCATGAGTCAAACTTTGAGGCAAACTAAACCGCATAGGTCTCAACTGCAGGAATACGTGCAACCCAAGTCTTTTAGCAAATATTCCCATTTGAATCCCATTCAGGTAATTAACTAGTGGCATTACTGCAAATAAAATTGATAAGAATGTTGCTATAACTGATTGCAATCAGACGGGTTAATTTAAACACAAATTCCTGAGCATTCTGCTGGGACGGATTTAAAGGGCGGGGGCAGGGGTGGGGGGAGATAACACGACAGTGCAGTAATTTCTGAAAAGATCATCATATTACAAACATGCAAAGGCTAATTAATTCAACGACAATGCAGTTCTTTATCAAAAATATATGAATTTGCTTTAATATACTTGAACACCGTTGCAATTAAAGGCCGTTTTATGCTTCGACGACAGATTGATGACCAAGAGACCTCTGCTCGTGTCAGCTTTTGTGCTGGGTTAAAACTAAATTTAAAAAGTAATTCCTACTAGCACATTTTTACTCAGATAAAAACAACAGTTGTAAAAGAAAAAAGCAGAATAATATGTGTTTAAGCAATTTGTGCTGTCATTATGGCATTTACTATTTTAGCAACATTCGTGAGGATTAATCAAAGATGTTACAAGTCTTTCCCATTGGGGGGTCAGACTGTAAAGCGTAGGGGAAGCACCGCTCCAGGCGTACAGGCCTGAAGAGATTAGAGACAAACTGGAGACCTTTGGCTGTGAGGCAACAGTTTTAACCACAAGAGCACCGTGCTGCCAATTCAGATCACCGAAGCTCTTGTTGGCACCGAGTTCAACTGAAAACAAAAAGATTTATTTGTGGTTTTCAGTGTGTGTGTGTGTGTGTGTGTGTGTGGGGGGGGGGGGGGGGCACTAATGACCGATTATTATTTAGTACAGAGACTTAATGCAACACAGAACAGAAAGGAGAAATCAGATGAAACTAAGTGAACAAGTGTTTAACAGAGTCCTTGCAAAGAATTTAAAAGCGGAGACTAGATGCCCTCACAGTGATGATTATTAGGAGCATTATGAGCAAACTGTCTTTGCCACAGCCTGTTAAATTTTATATTTTTGATTCACACGAGCTTTTAATTTTCAGCTAAGCGCCAAGCTGTGCGGACGAATACCGCCATGAGCGTTAAGAGTCTGCGATGCGTTGCTACATTTCTGAAGGAAGCTCTGCATCATTCTGACGTTAAAGCATAAACGTGGCTCGAACTTCAGGGGTAAAAAAAAAAAAAGATAAAAAAATTCAGCAGCTTATGTAGTTCTCACTGCTGGAGTGGCTTCTGTCCGAGAGCGTAGTTTTAAAGGAGCGTCCGTAGCTTCGGAACGTTGATGATTTTCTGGCTCTCCTTCCAGCGAGGGTTCAAAGTCATTCGCCTCATCAGCGTCTGCTGATGTCTGACCGGCACGCTCCTTTTTCCCAACGTCTCCCTCCACCTGCTTTTCTCTTCCTTCTCCTGCTTTCTCAAGATCTTTGACTTTGTGCACAATAAAAAGATGTCTTCTGAGAGAGAACACAGACGTAAAGCACAGGCCGCAGTGAAGACACTGAGGTGTGTTTTTATCTCTTTTATGCTGAGGTATATGCTGCTGGAACGTTGTACTCTTGGTGGTGATGAAACCGCACTTCGAACAGCGAAACTGAGTTTTTAGACGTTTAGCTGAAGGAGCCTCGAGACCTGCGTGATCCTGGCTGTCGGCCTGAGCACTCACATCAGGCGTCGCTGGCACCAACTCCTGGAAATCACAGTCACGCACTTTTAAACACTGAACAGTAAGATCTGCTACTCTAGCATGTCCAGCTGAGGGTGGTTTTAAGCTTCAAAAGTGAATAGTTACCTTGTCTGAATCTTTTTGGAATTCCTGGATGGATGATTTTGGCATTTGACCAAGATCAGGGTTTTTAATTCCATGCATAAGACTTATGTGGTTCTTCAGCATTACACTTGTTGTAAATATCGTCTTAGTGTCTGTGCAATACCTACAGTACAAAGAGGTGTTGGCGTTTTCAGTTAAACAGGTTTCAAGAAGAATCTGAATATTTCTAGAGGTTTTCCATAACTTACCAACAACTGTAAGTTCTCTTTTTCCCATCATGGTCACTGCGAACGTGTCTCCTCAGACTGACTGCAGAGATGAAGGACTGCTCGCAGTGTCGGCACGGATACTTCTTCACCGACTGTCGCAGAAGAGATAAAAACAAAAAGAGAAAATAACGGTCTGATGAGAACAGCTCTATACTGACGTCATTTCTCTGATTTATGAACACTTTACATACCAGTAATGTACCAGTCATTTAGAAATGTACTGTACTACTTGTAATGAATTGGCCAAAAGTGAAGCTGTTAGCTACAGGTGATGTTCAGACTGCAGACAAATTGAATATTTAAAATGTCAACACAGTTATCAAGCTGGCAATCAAACAGCTAAAAAGCCTTTTGCTATACTTCTTATACAACGGCCAAAATTCAAAACAATCAATGTTTGCAACAGATCATTATTTTTTTACCCCGATGAATAAAGAATAAAAGTTGAGACTTAAACAAGATTGCCGGCCGATCATCCTTCCTAATGTTTTCAATACATCTTTACAAAACAAACAAGCAAAAAGTCTGGCATGTGCACTGAAACCACAAATCTAAACAGATGGACATAAGCACCAATCGGAGTTTATCTGGGAGCACATGTGACATCTGCTGGCAACACGAGTTACAATGAGCACAGGCAAAATAATAGAAAATGTAGATTTTGCTGTAAATGAGATTTGTGTAAAAATAAGTCCATAAAGACACCATCTAGTGGTAACTATAATAGAATATAATCTTCCTAATCTACTCTTACATTGAAGTTTTTTAACAAGTGTATCTTACAACCTGTATAATTTTCTTAGAAACTGACCTTTCTCTTCTGCTGTAGCACCGGGAAATCCTTTTGTATAACGTTTGGCATCATTCAGTGTTAGGCTTCGGCATTCCCCTCGTTAGTAATACAGCAGGAATTCCCAATAACATAGGTTTTAACCAATAATAATAATAATAATAATAATAATAATAATAATAATAATAATAA